GCCCCTAAACCCCAAAGCCTCTCCCTAAACCCAGCTAAAACTCGAAAGCCCGGGAGGTTTTTCGAGATCCCTTGTAGAACCCCATAGCTCATTGCCTAGAGCCGACAACGAACCCCAGAAAGTTGGAACATATTATTATTCTTTGTACTTCGTTTATATACAGGTAGTAGGGTAGGGGCTATACAAGGTGCAAATTTAGTAACAATAAATACATTACTATGGCTTCTGCTTTGATATAGAGGCATTCATGAGTCGAACAGGTTTGGATATCATAGCATTAGTGAGGAAACCTAGGCTTCTTATCGGTTTCGAGCGGCCGGCCCCGTCCCCTGGGTGGCTTTCTACGCCTTTAGAAAAGATAGCTGGCCAGATCACTTTTCCAGCCGGAAGCAGACGGGCAGTTGAGGGGGTTTTGGATTCCGGGTGGGGTTTAGAGTTTAGGGCGGTTAGAAGGTTGACGATGGGGATCCCGGATGTAGGATACCAGTCCAGGGTATTGGATTCAGGGTCTATGATGTGGAGCTTTAATACCCTCAACTCAGACCTTAAACCCTAAGCCTCAAGCTAAGTCCCGAGTTTTAGGATGTAAGATTGAGAATGCCTGGGGCAGCTATGGCGGGTTGCTTGTTCGAGCGCGCCTATTCAGAAGATGAACACCTAAATGAAGATGAAGATGAAGGTACTGGTGGTGGTGACATTCCTGTTATGCAATAAATACTACAGCGAACAAGTACCCTTTTGCTTCTGCTACTGGCTCTACAGAGTTGAGGAAGCCATAAATCCTAGGCCTTAAAGGGTTTGGGAAGCACCACAGCCAGACGGCTCTTCTGACTTCCGACTGGCCCTGCTTGTGGGAGGACGGGTGCCGAGGCTGGTTGACATTGTTTGTCTTGCTACTAAGGTCATGCTCTTGCTGCTCAATTCCCGTTACTATTGCTTCTGCTGTTGCTGTTGTTGTGCATGGTGCTTCGTATAGTGTTCATGCTGTAACTATTGCTCTTCTGTCTGCTCTTGTTGTTGTTTGCGCTCTCCTAGTTAGTTAGTGTGTTCAAGCAGCGTGGCAATACCATGGGGTGGTTGCTGTCAGCGCGAGGAACGTGCCGCGCACGCGGCTCCGGATGTCACGCGGTGCACAACGTTGACTCTAAGCCCTTAAATCGTATACTTTCCACCGTCCCGCGCCGGCTCCATTAGGGATCCCGATGTTATTCAAAGATCCAACACCTTGCCGCTCGAGAAGGAGGCTCTGTGTCGTGCTCATGTTGGCGTTCAGATCGCTCAAAGCGCTCAAAATCGCTAAATTCCTAGCAGGGCCACAAACTCTGTGTATGGGTGGGCACAGTTCCGTGCGTGTCCGCCTCCTGAAATCGTGCTCGCAGCACTGTGCCGTGCATAGTGTTTTTGTGACTCGTGTTTCTGCCTCGAGAAATTGTGCTTCTGACTCCTGCAAGTCATTGCTGGGGGCGACTCGCGTTCCCTCGTGGTGCGTGCTCTGAGGTGCCAATCGTGCTCCCGCCACGGTGCTGTGGCTGCTCTCTCGCTGTTCAAAGCCTACACTGCCGTAATTGGATCGGTGGTGTTCTGCTGATCTTGCTGCTTTAAGAGCGGCACTTCTGGCACGATACCTCCCACTCTTCGCCACGGGAAGCTCTGATGGACTCTGCGACTCGCAGTGGCACGGCTTAAGGCGCACTGCCCGGGTAAAGAACTTTGGAGCGTGCAGGGAGGGCATATGGTCATACCTACACGATCCGAACCCCAGACATGCCTGGTCCCTAAACCCTGAACCCAAAACCTTCGCCCAGGTAGCCCGTCTCTTCTACCTGCGGTTTGCTCTGGAATACCTGAAGCATCTACTCCTGCCGATATGGTTTTGGGCTTAGGGTTTAGGGCTCAGGATTACGAGCGTTTCCAATGTGTGGAGTTTCGGGACATGAGCATTCACCCATTCTGTTGGACAGCTTGTTCTAGTTGCTTCCGCAAATCCCGCTCTAGATGTCTTTGCCTATCCCAGCCACCGAGAAGCCCTAACCCTTAGTCCTGAACCCTACACCCTAACAACCCCAAACCCTAACCGTAGCACCCCCGAACCCTAAACCTTAACAACACCCCCACACCCTTGTTCCCAAATCCCAAGCCTGTCGAGACGCGAGAGTCCAGCAGGGGATCCTCATCCTCGTCTCTCTACGGGGCTTCTCTGACTTGAAACCACCTTTATACCACTACTAAGCCCTACTCTTGCTCATCGTTATTCCTTAGCTTTGGGGAGTTTCTGGCAACGCATCTTCGAGAAATCCCGGCGAGTTGCTGTCAAACCTCCGACGTCCCGAGGCCAACCGCCCCGTTGTCGGGCCCAAAGAAAACGAGATCTCCTTGGTTTGGGAGGGGAGGGGGGAGGGGGCTGTAAGGGCTCACCCTAAGGAATCTGTCAGGGATTGGGGGTTAGCTTAGAATCGATTGCAAAGGTATTGAGGGGTTGGATTTGAAGGGGTCATTGTGGCTCCCTGGACCCTTAGCCCTACCCAAAAGCTTCGCCACAAAGGCCAATTCAAGTTAACGACACAAAATTGTATACGGCCTGTTTCAGGGCGGCAGTTCGCTTTTAATCCGTTTGCGAGGTGCGGTTTTTCTGAAAAGCAATACGCGTGTCATCCACAGATACCAAATACGGGTGTGAAAACGTCTTACAGCAGCCAACTATTGGACCCAAAGTGAGGGTTCGGGGCAGGGCTAGAGGCACACAGAGCGAATTAGCACCAGAACAGCCGCGGTTTGGGAAGAGTTTGGGGTTTAGACTATGGAGGTCCGGCTCTTAGGGTTTAAAGTATCGGGCAGATCGCAGTCTAGGGTGTCAAGTCTAGCATTGTGTTTAGGACTTGGGTTTAGGGTTCGCAGAACCCTCTGCAGGAACAGCTCAGGGACTGATTTGCTCTGTTGTTTGGGATGGGGGGCGGGATGTTCACGATCCTTGGCAGAGCATCCATTTTTGCTCAGCTGCACCAGGGTGTGTTGAAAGCTTCGCTCGGTGCCACGACTCCCGACCCTTTGCATCTTGTATGACAGTTAATGATTATTGTTGTGCTTGTATACTATCCTAACGTGTTGAACTAATATACTATACTTGTGACCCCCGGTTGTTGGAATGACTGAAAGGTTCCACACGGGTTGGTCACAGCTTACTCACAGGTTTCTCAAAGGCTTCTCATAGGTTTCTCACAGGCTTCTTATAGGTTTCTCACAGGCTTCGCTGTGTAACAAGTTTCTTACAGGTTCCTCACAGGTTTCTTCACTGGATTTTCATATGTTTCTCACAGGTTCCTCACAGCACCAAAGAAGAACAACAATGGAGACTGTAGGTTGTTCTAAACGTACCAAGCAAGAAAAACCCTGACTCCCAGAATTCCGCTAAGCCGGCGAACGCACGATTACATCGTAAAAGCTACTGTTTTGAGATGCTAGACATGAATTGCACTCGTTCCGCAGTACGAAACACATGTCCGACGCAACATAGATGCTCCCTGATGTGGCTAAAATGTGGGTTTTGGCTACATTTACGACACCAAAGCTAGCTCTCAAACCCTACAATGTCCAAACCCTTTACGCAACTATCTTGAAAAACTCGTAAAAAGAGAGCGAAATGCCAAGACCTACATCCCTTATGCAAACCACGAAAACACCGTAACTACCGTGGAACTCGTGCCTTCCAACCTTTGCAGAAACAACTGACCCCGCTAGTGTCCGGAGAGCCTCGGGGATTGCGCGTTAGGGTTTAGGATTCTGTTTGGGATCTACTGTTTCGGCTCGTTGCTCGGTCGGTTCTCTCCGTCACATGGGGGCTGTTCTAGATTACAGTCCCTTTTTGGATACCCTGCCCTGCTCTCATTCTAAGAGCTGGCTAGGGTTTCAGAAAGGCCCTAAATAGCCTCCTTCTAACGTTCAGGATCTGGGGCTTGGCACTTCGAGGTTTCGGAAAGGGTTCCAGGCACCCGAACCGCCTGAAATCGAAAACGCGGAACCCCTTAGCCTCAAAGCAATTTCTTCCGAGACCAGTCAAGTCGCAAGCTACGCTGCGTCATGTCTTTGGCCCTGCCGGTTGAACAAGGGATGCGAGTACAGTAGAAGCCAGAAAGTTGGAATATCATTATCGTAACCCCTTTAAGGTACATTATAGGGGATCCTACCATTAATCCATATTCCAACTTTCTGGAGTTCCCTTTAGAGGGGCTTCAAAGGGTTTGTGTAAGGGCTCAGAAGGGAGGGCTGCACAGGTCCTCTCTGAATGTACTTGCATCTCATACTGAAGTTGAGAGAATACGTACCAGCCCGCTTGAAATAGGCATACCGCCTCTCACGCCGCAAGTGCTGTACCAATACTTTTAGCCCTACTTAGTGCACACAGAAATCTTCTAAAGGTATCCCCAACCCCGCTCGAAGGACAGACACCAAAATAACCACGTGTAACCGAAGCCCATGCAGTAGAAGACTAAAAGTTGGAAACCGAATAGCCTCAATCCTTAAGAGTAATGGGTTTAGGGTTTAGGGTTTAGGGTTTAGGGTTTAGGGTTTAGGGTTTAGGGTTTAGGGTTTAGGGTTTAGGGTGTAGGGAATCCCAGCACTATTTCGCCTTAATCCGGTTTCCAACTTTATGGGTACTACTGTAGAAGCCCTCAACAGAACCACCCCAAACCTATTTTCTCTGGGGAGCCGCATGGGAGACGCCGGTCAGCGACCAGTGATGAACTAAAGAAGCAGCTTCCAAAGGGGCCTTTATGATTAGAAGAGTTTTGGGTATACTCGACTAGAAGTGAAATAATAAACCCTATAAGGATTACTCAGGCCCTTGTAGTGGGGGAGATCAGCAAAGGCATAGCTAAGAGACCCGAAGGAACGGAGACCCTGAGCCTTGAAACCTATTTTTGACGAAGACTTTCTCTGCATAGATACAAAACCGAAACCAAAACGCCCAAAGCAAAGTCATGAAAGCCCCAAAGCACGGAGCCTCAGAGGGTCGCAGTGCCGAAGAAGCCGTGTCCTTCGCTGTTCTTCAAGTGCCCACTGAGAAACAGAAAAAGCCATGTTAGGGCCGATAGGGTGCATACGGTCCTTCGGATTTGTATTCATGTCTGATACTTTCTGCCGTTCAAGGCTTTTGTTCAGGGCTTATCGGGCTCCAGGGCTTTCGGGGTTTAGGGTTTCGAGTTCCGGATTCTGGGGGTACCGCGCACTCGCTCGAAGAAGAACACTGGGGCTGTGTCCGTGGTTGATGGCCGCGAAGTAGGCGGCAAAGACCAGGGACACGATGGCCTGGCGATGGGTTCAGGGGACCTGCTGATCGACTCTAGGGTTCACGGGATCCTGAATCAAACACACCCTCAATCCTACTGTTGATGATATAAATCCTGCATTACCTTAAGGACCCTAAACTATGGGAATTACGGTATATTCCTTATTATGGGTAATGCAGGATTTTTATCATCAACAGTACTAATGGGAGTATTGACATGGCGGTTGGCGTTCCAGGGTATCGCATCGACAGCGCCCGAACAACTCCTCGACCCAACCCAAAAACTCAGTTCTGGCTATTCCGGCAAAACACCTAAGCTACACCCTGAACCCGAACCCCTCCCTCTCAAACGCAGATGGCCTGTTCGATCCGAGCATTTCTGAGGCTTGAACGGTCTTTGGCGCTTTCGAACTTCAGCATTTTCGGGCTGTTACAGTATCAGATTTAGCGTTTCGGCGTTCGAGTGGGCTTGAAAGGCTTAGGATATAAACGCCACGGTGGCTCTAAATCCTGGTCCTACACCCCAAAGCCTTCGTTTGAAACCCCTAAAAACTGACCCTTAAACCCTAAACCCTAAACCCCAAGCCCCAAAACCTTCGCAAAAGCTTGCTTTCTGCAGCCTGCAGCTTCATCACGATGTTCAGCGCCGGGCCGGAGGTGTCCTGTCTCCACTTTTGGAGGGATTTGGGGCTTTCAGGGTTGTGGGGCGTTAAAAACAGTTGCTGAGTTCATAAGACCCAAAAAGTCGACACTTTCAGTTCTACAGTGGGTAATAATATCTCAAAAGGTGTAAATAAAGTGCATCCACTCAGCTTCTAAGTAAAGCTTTAGAAAATTTAGGGGTTTAGGGTTTAGGATTTAGGGCTCTGGGGCTTGCGGGAGTTTACGGCTTCAGGCCGGGTTCAGGGCTTAGAGTGCTGGGTCCCCACCGTCAGAGATGCAGGATTCGACAACTTGAAGCGAGGCCCACGACCCAAAACTCCCGCCCAAACCCATAGACCCCACAAATCCACTCAAGCTCTGCAACCCCAAACCCCCAGACCTCAAACCCGAAACTCTGAACCGCAAAAACCCCAGCCCACCAAACTAAAGACCCCCTACATCCTGAACCCTAAAGCCTTCAAGGCCCTAAAGCCCACACCGCAACATTGGGTCCTTGAAAGGGTCGCCGACGGTGTCGCCCTGCACGGCAGCATCGTGCGCCTCCTTGGCCTTGACGTGACTCGGGGGGCTTCAGGAGCAGTGAAGCGGAGGGTTGCAGCTTGCGGTTTAGGGTTTAGGGTGCGGGGATTTTAAGGTTCAGGGATTAGGGATTAAGGTTTAGGGTTTTAGGGATTAGGGTTCAGGGTTTTAGGGATTAGGGTTTAGGGTTTTTGGGATTAGGGATCAGGGTAAAGCCTGGTAAAGCCTCGGATCCCCAAGGCAGCGCCTTCGGCGCTGCCTTCACCTCCTCGGCGGTCTTCGGGTTCTTGGTGTAGCGCAGCCTCGGGGCGAACAGAGATCACGAAGGTTCTCCGAAGGTCGCTTGAGGGTACCCGTTAAAGGTGCCCTTGTGGGCTCAGAGGATCCGGGGCCTCAGGTACTTTAGGTGCATTAAATGTTAGAATAAGGTTTTGGGGCCCCATTATACTTTCATCATAATAAGAGAACCCCAAAATGGTATAGGCAATTATTGAGGCCCCTATAGTAGAATTTGTGGGCTTTGTAAGGGTTGGAGCTTGGAGCGTACTCAAACGATCAGGGGCTCACAAGCGTTTGGGGCAAAAGGTGTGAGGGCTTCTGTAGCAGGTCTGGGATAGAAACTTCAAGAAAAGGATCACGGGAGCTAAGTAGAAGTGTAAGGATTTTATCATGGTTTGCGATATGTATCTGAAGGATCAGGAGACTTACGAAGGTAAGCTTATGGAAAGAAGGGCTAGCTGCTTCTAGCTACAAGTGCTTGTAGCTCCAGATACCGAACTTACTGCACTCGCAACTCCTTCCATGCGCGAACATGCTACGTAGCTAACCTCTTCCGAGCCGCCTGCGGGGATCTATAAACCTGAACCCCAGGCCCTGCACTCCCTAGGCCCTAAACCCTCGCCCCCGGAGCCTGAATCCGAAACCCTACACCCCAAGCCATAAAACCCTAAACCCGAAAAGCCTGGGGACCTCCACAAACAAGAGGCGCAAAGCTAAAACTTGAAACCTTCAACTCCAAGCTGATCCGGTTGGGACTTCTCCTCGGACGTTTGCAATTTCCTTCAGGCCTTGCGAAGTCTTTTCAGAGTTTGGGCTTTAGGCTGGTGGCGTTCGGGTTAGAAGCTAAAGCCCCTCATCAAGCCCGGTCCGGTGGCTCGGGGTCATCGGAGAAGCCGTTCTTGATGAACTTCTTGCCTTGATAGTTTGGGGTTTAAGGTTTAAACATCATAAAGACTAGTGCTTTAAGCAAGGGTTCTCCCAGCGGGTTCACGAACAGGGGCGGTTTCAACTGGGATTTTTTTCGGGGCTCGAGAACCGCTTGGCCAGAGGCGGTCGCTCAAAAGCCCGATGTGTACGTCATCAAACCCCCACCCCCACCCCCCAACACCGGACACAGAAACCTCAAGTATGGCAGCCAGAAACGCGTGCCGCGTTTCTGCGTCGATTCAGTGTTGTCAAGCAAAGACAAAAAACACAGAATGTTCATGAGTTTTGCAGCAAAGCCGAAGTGAACTCCAAGAAGCCCTGACCCAAGAGCACTTGTATTCCAGTCGACAATCCTCCCTGATAACGAACCCGCTTGCAGGGTTCTGGAGGGTCATAAGGTGTTCATTAGGGTGCTATAGGTGGCGGCTACGGGCAGCTTTCAGCAAAGTGCTTTAAGGCTGCTGCGGGTTTGGGAGGGTATACGGTATGAGCAAGGTTTCTCAGTGTCTCATAGTTCTTGACGGAGTATAATGCAAAGTGTCGAGTGCATGAGAAGCCATCAGCACCGGGTTGCTAAACCCTAACCGAAGCCCTAAACCCTAAAACCCGAAATCCCCAAATCCTAAGCTCTAAAACCAAAAAAAACCCTAACACCCGAAAACATCGAAGCCCTAAAAACCCTGCAGACCTGGATCTCCCGCGACTTCGGCCGAGGCGCAGTTGTCCCGGGCTTCAAGCCCTAAACCCTAAACCCTAAGCCCCAAAACCCTCATCCCTGAACCCTCATCCCTAAACCCTCATCCCTAAACCCTAATCCCTAAAAGCCGAGGCGCAGTTGTCCCAGGCGCCGCCCGAGTTGGACATGGAGATAGCCAGCTGCACGGAGGAGCCCAGGGAGCCCGTAAGGAGCCCGAAGACGGCCTCCGGTTTTGGGGGGTTTCGGGGTTTAGGGGTTGAGGTGCCTTGAAGACGCACTTTGAAGGAAAATAAGATGACATAAACTAAAATAATATAACATAGTATATGTCTTTCTACAATATGGGTGGTTCGCAGAATTAGGGTGACTTCTCGGGTCCTTGATCCACCAGTATAGATCACATATCATATCATAAGGGTTCTGCAGTACCAAGGCATAATAACACTCGGCAGTTGTGCGGTTTTTGTTGTGGGGCTTGGTGGCTTTAGGTCTTGGTGCTTAGGGATACGGCCCTCGAGTCCGCAACGTCGGGGCCGGAGGCTTGTGCAGCCAACGGTCCCGGGTTCAGGGTCCACGGTATGCCTGCTACGTTGGCAAGGTCTGGGGCTTACCGGCTGACTGCGGCGACAGCAAACCTCTGCTGCACTTTGGATAAGACTGGTCCCTAAACCCCTAACCCCGTAAGCCCTTGATGCTAGACCTCAAACTGCAGCAATGCGGAGCCTTTTGCACGACGTAGAGCGCTCTGCCAGTGCACCACACTGCCCCGGACTTAATGCAAATCCTATCTCCTAAACCTAAACTCCAAACCTAAAGTGCCAACTTGCTGAGATCGTCTTTTGCAGCGGATCCCTGCCTGGACGCCGAAGAAGGTGCCGGCGAGGAGAGGGGAAAGGATCCTTTGACGATCGTGGAGCAAAAATCAGGCGTTCGTGGTGCAGAGTTTACTGGGTTCAGACGGTTCAGATGTAGCATGTAGGGATGTTAGATGGTCGCCGTCAGCAAAATCTCGATGCATTTTCTGTACACTGTACTCCTTGCTGTTGTGAGTTGTGTCCTGAAGCTGGAGTTGGTGCGGACGTAGTCCAAACATAGGTGCCCTAAACCCTAAGCTCGGTGCTCTAGGACGTCGATTTGCATGGATGGGAGGATTTACCCATGACTGTTGATGCCATCGAGCACAGCATGCAACAGAGCCAAGTCTGTGTGCTGCGGCGGAATGAAATGAAATTATGCTGCAGACTGGGGTTGGCATGAGCAGACTTCCAAGATATCGTAGACCGATGGCAGTTGCCTGGGAGGAACCATGAGCCCCTGAGAACAAAAATCGATGACCCTACTTTTTCGAATTGTGCTCTATCTCCATTGGGGTCCCACTTACGAAAACACATCAATGAATATACAGATGTGTGTGTGTGTGTGCGTGCACATATACATATAGACGTGCATCGATGCACGTGAGTGTTCATGTATGTGTGTGTGTACATTTATACAGGTGTATGTGTGCGTGTGCATGCATATGTATATGTATATGTATATGTATGTATATATATATATATATATATATATATATATGTATATATATATACATGTATGTATATATATATATATATACATATATACATATATATATATATATATATACACAGGCATATATGTACGTGCGTGTGTGTACTCGTAAGAGAGCCGGTGTCCTTTAGAGGAGCTCCAGCTCAAGCCAAACCCGATTCGGCCCAAGGCACACCAAGCAGGCAGGAGCCACCATCTCTACCAGGGAAGCCTTCCCATCATGGAGTTTCAGGCTTTGGTGTTTCGGCTTTAGGGTTTAAGGCCGTCGGTATTTTGTTGTGGGTTTCCCATCACTGCTCTCGTCTCAGAAGCTCAGGCTTGTGGACTTTGAGGTGAGCTGCACTTCAGCCTGGTAAGCTACAACCTAATCTCCAAGACCCCAAGCCCTAAACCCCAAACCCCAATGCCCTAAGACCGTGTCTGGCCCGGGCCAGGAGGTCCTCTGCTTGACAGACTGCGGAACTTGCTAGGCGCCACATCCCCAACCTATCTGCCAGTACTTCGGCTGGATGCCCCCAACAGTCTGCACCCTCTAAGAGCCCCGAAGGCCCTGCGGTATCCTGAACCCTAGGCCCTGAACCCAAAAGGCGCCTGGGTAGAGATCTGGATGCAGGTCAAAGAGTCCGGCTTCAACTCGGTGCTGCCATCCAGCCTTGGAGGCAGTTTCGGCTTTGTGGTTGCAGGCTATGGGGGAGCCTAAAAGTTTAAACAGGGCTGCTTACGAAATTCCGTACGGCATCTAGGCTCCATGCAGGATTTAGAGTCCGGAGTCTCGGACCTGAGCGCAAGCCTAGCCCCTCCGAGCTGAAGCGTTGATGAAAGGAGGGCTTCTCCATGTTTTGTTAGACGCGGCTACTTTCAGGTTTAGGGTCTAGGGCCAGAGAACACATTCCTCAGGTTGTACGTATGTGTATGGTATGTAATTAATATACTTTTGCAAGTATGATCAGCATTAAGAACAAGCTGTCCGTCCGTTTTGCCAGCATGACCGTTCATGTCAGGATAGGAGCCGAAAGGCATCAAAGAAAAATCTCTGAGCCGAGTCAGATGCCCCCCGCGCGCGGGCTAAGTAAGGAATTAGGGGTGGCTTGGATCTCAGGGACACGGGAGAACCGGATGAGCTCCACAAGAACCTTCATTGAGGTGGTAACTCCCTGATCCTTCCAACACTCGGGTAGGATTTTAAGGCCTTTCAGACTTAGGCCTTGAAGTCCCGAAAACCCCAAAGCTTTGCTCAACCACCAACTTACCTTGGGTTAGCAGGGAATGGAGGAATGGGGTACAATTACAACTACTATTCTTCCATTCCCTACAAACCAAAGGTAAGCCAACCCTGAACCCTAAACCCTAACCCCTAAACCCTAAAGCCCAAACCCTAAACCCGAACCCGTAAACCCTAAACCCTAAACCCTAAAGCCTAAACCCTAACTCCTAAACCCTAAACCCTAAACCCCAAAGCCTAAAACCCCCAAGCCTCCTCAAGCTTCACAGGAGCTCTCAACGGAGTTGCAGTGCGGCCACGGGGCAGAGTCTTACCCTGGCTGTCCTTGACGCTGAACTGCCTCGAGGCTTGGAGGCGCGAGTTCAGGGTTTAGGTTTCTTCTTTTTTTTTTTGAGCACCTTTTTCCATCCCGGTTTAGGGTTTTTTTGGGGTTTAGGGTTTAGGGTTCAAGGTTTAGGTTTGAAGTTTTAGGTTTAGGCTTAGGGTTTTGGAGTTTAGGAGTTTTGGGTCTGGGGTCGGGGGTTTCATCGGCGGCTTCCTAGAGATTCCGGAAAGGTCTCTTAAAACGGTTTAGGGTTTAGGGTTTAGGGTTTAGGGTTTAGGGTTTAGGGTCTTAGGTCTTAGGTGCTGCGAACAACCGGCCAACCTGTTGAATGCCGTGAACAATCAGCCGTCCTCACAACTTTTGCAGAAAAGGATCTCTGGCGTCAGGGCTTTCGATTCTAGGTAAACTTCGAGGCTCTCCGCCAAAACACCATGGTCTGACCATGTCCCGGATTTTTCGGGGTTTGAAAGCTCGGGCTTGGAGTTCAGGGTTGTTTGGTGCTTTGCGTGCTTTCGTGGTTCAGGGCTCAGGGCCGTTTACAGTAGGGTTGGTTTACGCTCTTTTGTGAGCTGTCGGAATTTGGGCTGCTCACCCTCTCCCTTGCAAGTAGGTGCCTCTTCACCTCGGCCACCATCTCGCCCGCCGCCTCAGGTGCGACATAGCTTCCGGGAGAAGTGATGATGGAGCTCAAGTTGAATCGTGCATCGGATGTATAGTAGTGTTTAAACCCTAAACCCTAAACCCCTAAACCCCTAAACCCTAAACCCCTAAACCCTAAACCCTAAGTTGATTCTACGGCGCACGCGTGTGCATGGGGGCCCCTGCCTTGCCGACGGACTTCATGGTGAGGGCGGCGAACCAGTAAGGGATCATGCAGCCGATGATGAGGAAGGCGAAGGTGACGGGCTCCAGGATGTTGACGCCGGTCTTCACGCGCAGGCGCACGACGAAGGCACCGTAGAGGGCCAGGGAGACCAGGGCGGCGGAGCCGATGGCGAAGCCCTTGCCGATGGCCGCGGTGGTGTTGCCGGCGGCGTCCAGGGCATCCGTGCGGCGGCGCACCTCGGGGCCGAAGAGCGCCATCTCCGCGATGCCGCCTGCGTTGTCCGAGATGGGGCCGAAGCCGTCGATGGTGAGGCCGCAGGAGAGCGTCGCGAGCATGCCCAAAGCCGCCAGTGCGATGCCGTACAGGTCGCAGAGCTGGAAGGACACGAAGATGCTCGAGGACAGCACGAAGACCGGCACGATGCAGCTCTTGTAGCCCAAGGCCAAGCCCTGGATAATGTTCACGGCAGTGCCGAACTTGCACGCGGCGGCCAGCTCACGTGTGGGCACGTAGCTGTGGGAGGTGAAGTACTCCGTGACCAAACCGATGATGAGGCCGCCCACGCAGCCCATGGTGGCACAGATGAAGCACTTGTAAGGGCTTCCGGTGATCTTGGCCGGGTGCCCATCCTCCGTCAGGCGCACACCCTCCAAACGGAACTCCGGAGGGAGCAAGACAACCGCAAGGTAGTAGATCACTGGCAACATCAGGACAGCGGTGAGCACCATCTGCACCTTCAGCACAGTCTCGATGTCGGCTTCTTCCTTGACAGGCGAGATGTTGGTGGCCACAAAGCCACACAGGATGCAGATCACAATGCCGGCAGCCGAGATGGCCAGAGGGAAGAGCATGGCATCCCAGCCAGCATCTGCCAGCGTGTGGTGCGAGCCTTCCACCGCGGCGGCGGCGATGACCAGTGCAGCGCAGGTGCTCTCGGCGAAGGATCCGAAAAGGTCCGCGCCCATGCCGGCGATGTCGCCCACGTTGTCGCCCACGTTGTCCGCAATGGTGGCGGGGTTGTTGGGATCGTCCTCATCCAGGCCGGCAACGACCTTGCCGACCAGGTCCGCACCGACGTCGGCGGCCTTGGTGTAGATACCACCGCCGACACGGCCGAACATGGCAACGGTGCTGCCACCCAGGCCATAGCCGGCCGCACAGTCGAAGAGGATCTCCCAGTCGTCAGCCTCTGGGAAGATGGTGCGGTAGAAGCTCAGCAGCATCCAGAGGATCAGAACACCCAGAGAGCACAGCGCATAGCCCATGACGCTGCCGCCGCGGAAGGCCGTGTTGAAGCCCAGGGTGTAGCCGCTGTAGGCACAGGCCAGGGTGGTGCGGGCGTTGGAGTAGGTGGCGATCATCATGCCCAGGAACCCACAGAGCATCGACGTGAAAGCTCCTCGCTAGCGTCTTCAGAGAAGGTAGCATGCTGCTAAGCTTTGAAAGTTTGCCTGGAAACTTCATCTGACTTGGGCTGAGCTCTTTTTTCATCAGCCGGCCTTTGGGCAAAACAATAAATTATAAGAATATGCAGAAGCGAGTCGAGTCTTCCCAAGCATCATGGGAAACTGCCCCAGAAAAGCCCCTCTCTGCACAGTAACTATTCCCCAAGCGGCCTTCTGCCTTGGTGCTAAAGCGCGACCTCTCAAACCTCAACAGAAGTATAATGTAATAGACCCCCGAACTCTACTCTAATTATTAAGGCCTCTGTAGACCAACCGAAGTAGGAGATCAGAGCTGGCGGGTGTTGAGCACAGCTCGCGGCGGCTCCTGTGAGGAAGGCGCCCGCGGTCAGGTGCCCTTGCAGGGTGCTCTTCGTTCCCCAAGACCTGACAGTGTAGGGTGGAGCACCTCTGAAGGTTGGTGGACAAGGACTTATATAGGATGTTTACTGTCAAAAAAGGATGAGGTTCTGGGATTTGGGGAATCGTCCCCATCCACCGAGTTCGATTCATGAAACAGACCTCGGCCACAAACCTTCTGAACTGGAGGGTCGGCAAGAACAGCGAGGCTGCACACCGGGCATCCCGACACCAGAGCGCTGATCAGCACGGCAAAAGCCACGCAGAATGCAGTGCAGATGGCGTACTCGACCTACTTCGGCGCACGCTCTTAGACCCAGATGCCGATCTAGGATTTAGGGTTTACGGCTTACTGCTTTGTCGCCGCGAAGTCCTCCAAGCCAGGAATCCAGGAAGCTACTCCCAAAAATTCGTCGAACCCCGAAATCCAAAACCGTAAACCCCGAAACCCCCAAACCCTCTTAGATATCCCCACATCCCTCAATGATCTGATAGTGGGGTTAAGGATCGTAGTAATGCAGGCTAGTGTTTGGCCCCCACTTTCATGGGTAAGGTTAAGGAGCCGAAACCAGGGGCGCTTCGGTTGGAGATCTAGGCGACCGTGGTAGCTACTGAGATTTGAGCATCTGAGGAACTACGATGATATCAGGGCCCATGCTAAAATCATTGCCTATGATATACTATACTATGCTGTACTACACTATACGATACTATACGACCCTATACCATACTGCACTTTGCTGTACTATACATCATACGATGTAGTATACTAGAATATATGGCACATATCACGCCTACGCCTTTTGATCAGCGAACCATGAGTCAGGGCTAAGCACATCCGAGGTAGCCTTCGAAAGGCCTCGAAGAAAGCTGGGTTCTTGCTAAGGAATCTAATTTCAGTTGCCATAATAGCGTTAATAGCGATCCATGGTGAATGATACGCTTTCTGTATAATAGTAACTTACTTTACTTCTTTATAATGGTAACTTACCTTAAATTCCGTAAGCAAGAATAACTTACCTTAAATTCCTGAAGCAAGAACCCAGAGAGTCGGCTTTCGAAAGAGTCTTAGGCTTAAGGTTGGGAGTTCAGGGTTTACGACTTATGGTGGGCTTTAGGGAAGTGGAAGTCCTGCTCACTGCTTCCATGGGCAGCACAGATAGTATCAATTCTTTAACCTTGCTCTCATTGCGATTATTGCCCCTGCCACTGCAAGGAGTGATGCAGCCGACTCTGGTGGCCGAAATCACTGGATAATGTAGATAGGCACCAGCAGCTCAATCATCCCTGAACCCCAACACACATGTACCCAAAACCCTACAACTCTAAGCGTCTGTAACCCTTAAAGCCCCAAACCTCTCCAGCTAGGACCGCTAGGGTTTATGAAGCTTTCACCGAAGCACAAGGCCACACAACCCTTTCAGCAACTAATCTCTACAATACTTGTGTAACGCTCAGGAAAACCCTGAAGTGAGGCGCCTTGATGAACTGAATGGCGCCGGTCATGATCCTGCCAGTGGCCGAGGCGGCTGGGTGTCAGTACTCGAACCACAATATACGTATATATAATTTTAGATATGTATATATATATATATATACATATGTAGACACACACAGATATGTTTACATGTGTGTGTACTGTACTGTGCACATGTGTGAATATGGGTATACGTACACGAACAAGACATTTCACATTTACACATACACGCGTGCATACATACATACATACATACATGCATGCATACATACATACAGACATACGTACATACATACATACACATGTGTATCTACATGCTGAAGCAATAAAGCTTGTTAACAACACAATCTTAGGTAAATATCAACAATGAGAGCCCTGACAACCACCATCATCATACTGAAGACAATGTACGCTCGCTTCGCTTGCAACCGATACCCGGACAACTTCGTTGAGGAAAGCAACGTCGCTTGAAGTGATCTCAGGTCCGATGATGAAAGCCTTCTCGCCCAGATCTAAGAGCTCGTGCACTTCAAAGACACAGCCAGTCGATTCCCTGATGCTACGCCAAACTGTGCACTCCGAAGGATGCTGCAATTCAGAGGAAGCGATCACCGCCGGTCAAACTCAACCGAATGCATTCCGAACTAACGTGCTGCCCAATGCCAACCCAGCCCAGTCTTTTCGTAAATCTCCGGGACCAGCTTGGCCGCCTGCTCCTGAAAAGCAGTGGTTTGGGGTGTTTGGTGTAGTGTCTCAGTCTTAGGGGCTTTAGTATTTCAGGCTGAACGGCTTTGGGTTTCGGACTTTGGGGTTTTAGGGTTAGGGACTTGAGGTTCCTTCGGCTTCGGACCCCAAAACCCAGCAAACCCTAAACCCTGATGGAACCCTTAGAAGGAGGCCCCGCTTCCTACCCAGCCCTATATTCCCTCTGTAAAGGGCATCTGCTTTGCTTCAGTGGTGGAGGGTAAGCCCTGGCCTGAGCTGCGGCGCTGACTGGGTTAGGAGAGCCCGAACTCTTTGAGTTCCTAGCCGAGGCTTTTCACGGGCTGCCAAGCGACCGCTTAGGCAGACCCTGATGTAATGAACACCTCACAGGCGACCCCACGCCCTAAACCCTCGCCCCTCTACCCTTAACCCTTTGCCCCCCGACTCTGAAACACCCAAACTCTCAACCCAGAGACCTAAACTTCCACAACACCGAAAAGCGATCAACATGTAAAAACTCGAAAAACCCTCATATGAACACTGTCACCCTGACAGGAAATCGCCAAACCATAGAACCCTTACAGAGCCCTTGTAACATGCTCAACCCCTCATCATTGCTGGCGCAGTAGCACTGCCGCCCGCCGTCAGCCCAGTGCTGAGGCTATCCTGTCGACTTCAAAGGGCTAAAGGGAACTCCAGAAAGTTGGAATATGGTTTCATGGTAGGATACCCTATAATTTACCATAAAGGGCTTAGGATAATCATATTCCAACTTTCTGGCTTTACTTTACTGCCCCAAAGTCGGCTCTCTTCTGGGGGACAGGGGTTTAGGGTTCATCGGGATTTCGGTTGAAGCTTTTAAAGTTTCGAAAATTCCCGTAAGAGGATCCTTGAAGGGTTAGTCTACATAAAGTTCTATAGACATACATATATATGTATATGTGGGTGGTTGTCAAAATTATGGTCCCGATTTGGGTCCCTAATATAGTACGGCACCTAATATTTAGGGTACCCAAAAAGGAACAACGAAGGATCGTTAGGCTCAGGGCTTTGGAAGTTGGCTTTGTTGGCTGGGGCTTAGGGTCCGGAGTTTGTGGGTTTTCGGTTTCGGCTTCTGGGTCTCCATAGGGTCCGAGGCTCCACAGCCGAGGTCCTGGGGCTTCCCTCGTTCCCATATAAGGGGTTTAGGGTTTCGGGTTCAGGGGTTTAGGGTTTAGGGTTTAGGGTTCAGGGTGATCTCTAGGGTGCTTAGAGGACATAGAAGAAGATAAGGTGAGCCCCAGAAGCCGGTAAGGCCAAACCCGGGTCAGGAATCCATCTTCTTCACCGTGGCAATCTGTAGTAGTAAGAACGGCAAACTCATGTCCTAAGCCGACGCTTCGATCCCAAACCACAAGTAAGAATACACCCCTCCTGAAGAAGGACTAGGGTGGTAGGGCTTCAGAAGGCTCTTTCGAGGCTTAGCATCAGAGCTTGACTTCGCGCTTCGGACTAGACCTATGGGCCTGGGGCCAGGGACTCAGGGCCTAGGGGGTGGCTTTAGGAGGCTTTTTTTTTTAACCCTCTTTTCTATCCTTTTGGAGGCTTTGGGGTCTAGGGTTTACCCGGTTTCAGGCTTAGGCTTTTCGATCGTGGGGCTTCGAGCCCGAAGCAAGCAGCCAGCCTTGCCATCCGGGGTCAGCGAGATTTTCCTCCGCAAAAACAAGCTGCGAAAGTCCGGCTACGGTGCGTGAACCCCTGCGCTTGGGCCTACTTAACAGACCGGAGCTGTAATCAAGGTAACTTCACTTCCAACTACTTGTGACCCCATATGACGTATTGATTTCATACAGTGACCATACTTGTAGCCACCCATATCGCCACCTTCAGTACATTACGGAAGTTTTAAACTAAAGGCGTTTTGGTGAGCTAAGGGCTTTCCACTCTGGGCACCCTGCAAGAGCCCTGATCACTGAAACTAGAACCCTGGACTTCAACCCTAACCTCTACATTAGACCCTGAATTACCAAAACCTACACCTAAAACTCCCAATCCTGAAGCCTAGCCCAAGGCCCTTGAACCCAAACCACCCAAACCTCAAACCTAAACCCTCCTCACTCGAGGCCCACGTAGCCAGGTCCTGATCACCAGAAACTGCGCCAGGGCCGCGACTAGGCCTGTGGAAGGGAAGTGCCGGATTCGGTCAGGCCGGATTCGGTCAGGGCGGCAGGATTTGAGAGTGCTTACAAGGGTGCCTCTTCAGTTCCTTGTGAGTGTTCCCGCAAGAGTTTTGTGTGTATAGAGTTTGGGGTTACTTGTAACTGTTTGGGGTTTGGGTTTAAGGGTGCAGGGTTTTCTTTGCGGTTCCCGTGGTCGGAAGGAGGTTTGAGACTTAGTCTTCGCAGGGATTCCGTTGCTTTCGAGGTCTTGGCAGAGCCTGGATTCAAGAGGGTGGAGATGCGGTCAAGTGCTCAGGGTGTTCAAAGCATGATGCCCCAGCAGCTGCCAGAATTGCTGGTACAGCAACAGTTCTCGCGTCAATTGCAGGAATGCCTGAAAACTCAGTAAGCCATCCAGAGCAAATACGAAAAAAAGCTGCATCTGCCACAACTCGAGCACAGATCCCCATGGACTGCCAGCTAGTAACCAGGCAGGCGCCTAAAAGACAACAAGGAACGATGATCTCATCGATCAGCTCCATCGCCCTGTGACTGTGGTGTTCTGGCGGGACTGGGAGGGGTCGCTGTCCCTTCCGGCTTATGATAGCTTGGGCGGTGTGTGGGCATTCAGCACATGCCAACAACGATAGGGGCTAGGAAAAACTGCCCCTAAACCCTAAACCCTAAACCCTTAACCCTTAAACCCTAAACCCTAAACCCAAGCAATGCACGTCCCAGCTGGCGTCGACTAGGGGTCGCCTGTTGGACGAAACTTACCCGAACGCCGCACCGAACACGGGAAACAGGCGTGCCTGGGAACTGCGTGCCAGTGGTGATCTCACACTTCAGCCGAAAAATCGCTGCAGAGAAAACCACCAGAAGCTCAGAGCTCAAAGCTCTCAACAGCTAGGGTTTAGGGTTAGGTCTGAGGGTTTAAAACATGCAGTGTAAAGGGCACGGGAAAGGCGCACCCGACATCGTGCGAAAACATGCTCTCCGGGAATTACACCCAGTACACCTTGTAGCCTTTATTCAAGGTGCGCCCCGACTCCAAATCTACAGCGAGTTTTCTGAAAACTTGCCCTAGCTCTTTTTGAGGCATTTCGGGATGTAGTCCAATGCAACACTGCGGCGCAGCGCAATGGCTTGGATGTAGCTGCTAAAATGGAAAGACAAGTGGCTCGAAACGATCGCATTCGTTTTGAAAGTGATCACTTTGGACCATTTACCTGCTCTGAGCAACAGCTTAGGAAGGAAAACCCTTAGCCCCTAACCCCAAGTCCTAAGCCCTATGCCTTAAACCGCCTTGAGAAAACTCAGACGTGTCGATGTCGGTCACAGGGTAGCCATCTCAGCGTCCCATGTGGATCGTGAGCGGATTGCTGGTGGTACATGAATGAGGGTGCAGTGAAGGATTGTTTTGAACCCTACAGCCTGAACAGAAACCCAGTTCATGAAAGGCATCATATGGCAAGGAAGAGAGCTCTAGGCCTTGCTTGACCGACCTCGAAGCACCCTTCGAGTACGTGAGGGCAACCTGGACCGTTCGAATAAACCCCCTGAGTCCTAAACTCCTCCAGTTATCCCAAGCCCTGGGCCCCAAACCCACACAATAATCTTCATGAAACCCTTATAGAACCAGCTTGCCTGGGGAGGGTCAGGACAATGATTCACGGTTTTGCATCTCGTGTGCTCCTTGCTGGATCCGGAGTCCAACTCAACCAGAAGTGCTGGCTGGAAGGACTGACAAAACAACCCGGCTACTAGCCCGCTCTCATGATCGGCAGTACTTGGCTTTCGTCCTGGAGATGCCCGAGATCAAGGCGGCTAATCACCAGCGCGACGAAACCTCATAAAATGCCTTTCTCAACGAAGTTCGTTGACGAACAGCTAAAACCAACCACCACGACCAGCAGCAGCAGCACCACCACCACCACGACTACCACCACCACCAACAACTAACCAACCAACCAACCAACCAACCAACCAACCAACCAACCAACCAACCCACCGACCAACCAACCAACCAACAAACAACAGAAACAGCAGCAACAACAACAACAACCACAACTGAAACCGCAACCAGCCGCAACCGCAACCGCAACCACAACCACAATCACAATCACAACGGCAGCAGCAGCAGCAGCAGCAGCAGCAGCAGAAGCAGCAGAAGCAGCAGGCAGCAACGGCACAAGCCAAGCAACCCCTATACACAAGCTTGCTATTGCAGTTTCGTAGGGTCATCCGAACAAGTCCCGAAGCTCACAAGGCTCGTGCACAGTCTTAGGCCGCCTAGATACAATCCACGACGTCCTGCACAGCCTTCTTCAAGCTCCCTGCGGCAACCTTGGCGTCCGGGCGGATAAACTCCTGCTTCCCTTCCTTGGCGTCGGCCTGGAAGGCGGCTCGTGAGCACAAGAAATCCGGCATACAGCGAGTGGCCGCAAGATGCTCCAAGGCTACCGTGGCAGGGAGCAGTCTCAAGAAACCTCACAAGCGCCTCGTGCTTTATCTTGACCTCGCAGTAATCCTGAAACTGTTGTGAACCATAGATCCAACGTGCTCGTCAGTTGGAAAGCTGTTTGTTTCGCTGTGCAGCTGCTGAAGCGTTTTGCTGGGTTGGATGGCAATGCTTTACGGGGAAAGGCGAGGGCATGCATGCTCTGCTGATGCCTGCAGGTTCTTGAGTCTGCGCAACTTCAAGTCATTCTCAATGCCCATGTTCTTGAAGTCCTGCTCGTTCAGATCGTTGCAGAAGGCATAGCCAGAGATGCCGTTCTCGAAGAATGTTTCTGCGCAGTCTGGCAAATTCCAGCCATGCAACGCAACACTCAGTGTCTCTGCATCCCAACTCTTCACATCCTGGTCCGACACCGCCAAGAAATCGACCTGTTGTCTCAGCTGCCTGAACTTGGCCCGGTGTGACTCGATGATCTCGATGTCCTTCTTGAGCTCCTGGTAGAATCGGGAGATGTTCGAGCCCAAGCGCTTGAAGTCCCTGACGTTGTTCAGAATGACCTCGGTCTCTTGCTGCACGAAGTCAAAGTCTGTGCGCTTCCCAAACTTGCACATCTTGAAAGACCAGATGGCGGCACTGGCGAGACCACACACTGGCACAAGCGCACGTAGCGGTCCAGGAAGTTTAACACTGACAGATCCCAGTGCAAAACATGTCAGGAGAACATAGGGCACATCTTTGGATACCTTCTCGGCATCCATAAACCACCAAACTGCATAGAGGTTGGTGAAACGCTCTGCCCAGAGATGACGATCGCGTAGCTTGCTCTCCTGCTGGCTTATGGACTGATCATACCCGTTTTGGTGATCACTGAAGTCTTTCTCACACTCCCGCACAAGAGCACGAAAGTTAAGGAAGAGCTCATCTTGGAAGAGCCCCTTCTCCATCTCCGAGATGGCCTCCTTGATCTTGACCCTGTCCGGCTCTGCAAGCTCTGAGCGTTCGAGCAGACGAGCGGTTCGGGCACCTAGAACGTCACGGCTTTGCTCAGCTGTTTCACAGAGAACCTGGAGCCTTTCCGTAAGACTTTGTTGCAGTTGCAGAAACTGCCCCATAACTCGGTGTCCAACGTTCCTTGGCAGAGCAGCACATATTGCAGCACATGAAGTGCCGGTGTCTAGAGAACTAAAGACGGCCTCGCCGCGTTCATCAAACAACACAGACTTGGCTGAACTGACGACCCAGCTTCTGTAGGCTGTGTGCCAGGTCAGTCTTGAAAGGATCGACTCCACCTCGAAGGCCTTCGATGAACTGCTGGGCGTCGTTCACGTCGCTCTTCTGCAGGACTTTATGGAAACTGTGCGCCTTGGAGAGACCAACCTCGCTCGCTCCATCGTTGGACTCAACCTCAACAACCTCAAAGGATGCGGTCGACATGCTCAACGCGAAGGAGGATGCGGATGCAGAAGGGCTTGAGCCGAGCTGCTACCGAAACATCTGTACACATGCCGGTGTGATGCATATCCTACCCACATGGGCCATAGAGGGCCAAACCCCACTCAACACTGTAACACATGCTGTCTAGCAAATCAGCACAGGTTAAAGCGCGAGCTCCCCTCAGTGTCTCCACCGACCCGGCACCATGGATTTTGCAGAAGCTGTGGCATGACGTCGGTCTTGGCCCTCAGTCGTTGTTTACTGGATGTTCTTAGCTCGCCTGCACAAACCCGATCATGCCCTCCATGCAAAGGGAAGCCAACACACTGAGAGCGACCCTGCTATCGGCTACCGGTAGACTCCTTTTTATCTGGGCCTTGCTGTCCAGACGCAACGTGAAAAGCCCAAGAGATATGGCAGCGAGCATCCCATAGCCTGCATTAAACTTTCAAAGATCTCGAGAATCTGAGATCTCGAAAGCCCATCGGCCTTCAGGGCCCTGGGAAATAATCGATGAAGGCAGACGCCGCAAAGGCTTAAAGCCTGGCTCGCAAAGGGACTCGCTGCATCAACTCCTGACGGACTCTGTCGGCTCCCCCTCTCCTGACACGGCTCATGGCTTAGATATCAGATTCCAGGCGGTACAAAAGTGCAGCGTCAGTAAACGTCTTCTCAAATCAAGCGAGGTCTCACCACACGCAAGTGATAGGAGAAATATGGGAGCTTCCAAGTGATCTCGCTGAGGACATCCATGAAACTCCACCCTGCCCTGCGGCGCTGTAGCCACACGGACCGGATCGCCGGAAAGTAATCCTAGGTTGCCAAGACTTTGGGACTAGAAAGCCAGAACAAGAACTATCGCGAACCCCTTATAAACTCCCCATTTCCCCACTAAACCCTAATGAAGCATACGGGTGCTACGAGGGACCCTTAAGGAAGCCCGGACTCCGAGAAGGCCGTCACTTCTCCCTGCGGGCCCTCGACCTCGGCTTTCTCGGCATCCCGCTCCTTTGCTCGGGAGTATTCCTTAAATCATATTAGGGATCCTACTATGATTTAAGGTATGTTCCTTAATGAAGGGATATTGGAGTCTCTGGGAACCGGACTTAAGGTTTCCATGGTTAGTAGGGGCTTAAAGGTTGGGATTTAGGATCTGGGGGTGCAGAGAAGTGCTCATGTAGGGAAAGTGTGTGTGTATATACATATATACATAGATATGCACGTATGCATGTCTATAATAATATGTATCGAATATGAGTAGGCATCTCTCTATTATGGTGCGCTAGACTAAAAACATCTCAACAAGAGCGCAGGTTCGCACACGAGATCATGCACCGCTTCTAACTCCCGAAAGTCCATCAGAAGAAGTCGGCTGGAGGCGGCCAGAAGCCAGTGCCAACGCCTCACTTTGGGCCTCAGCGAGCGTCTGCAAAGCAGCTCGGGATTCCTTTGAAACCAGGATCCCTTAGCGGGTTCGTGCGTAGCCAACAGGTTTGTTTGTCAGAAGCTAACAAGAGCTACGTCAAGCCAGGGCCAGGCTGCGCATTAGCTGCGAAATGCTGCTTGCACTGCGCAAAGGTCGGCCTTGAAAAGTTTATGATCTTGCCCACGCGGCTCTGCACAGCTTCGTCAATGCTGTCTCGCAAATTGGTGGCCATCACCTCAGTCTTTTCTCTAAGGTTCCTGCTGGAAGCTCATAGAATCTCATAGAACCAAAAAATCCTAGCAGACCTTGTAGTACCCTTTTAGAGCCCTAATTATCATAGAGCCCTTCATGACACATATCCCCATGGGTTCTGGGCCGTTGACGATGAGGATCGGCTTGGCATCGCGCGGTCTGCTCTGCAAGCCATCAGTCCACTCGAGGAAAGTCCTGACGATCTCCTTCTTCGCCTTCAGGCTTCAAGGGTTTGGGTTTAGAGCTTATAGGGTTTATAGGGTTTAGGGTTTAGGGGTTAGGGGTTCCTGTGAGGGTCTTTGTTAACGAGGGTACTTGGAGGGGTTTCGGAATCTTCTTGGCCTGTAGACTTTAAGAGTTGCTGGGTTCAGGGCTTAGGGTGAGGTTGGGGGGTTTAGGGCCCCTCGGCAAAGGCCAACCACTCCGAAAGCGACAACTACAGCAGGGCAAGAGGCAATGGCTGAGAAACAACAACTGGGGGTGCAATTCGCAAACCCCGAACCCTAAACCCTCAAGGACCTCATTCCCGAAACCTGAACCATCCTAAACCCTAAACTCCGCGTGCCGTACCTCCACTTTCACACTGGAAGCGCTCTGCATGACACTGCGGCGGCTGAAGAGTTGCTCGGCTTCGTCGATAAAGACCGCAACCCCGACACCATTGGGTCCGGATGCCATACTCGGCGGAGGGTCATTTGCAAGATCGGGAGGTTTTTGGGGTTTAGGGTTTAGGGGTTGGGTAATTGGGGCCCTAGGTGCCTTTGCTACAATCCCGCCGCTTAAAGCTCTACCAGCTAGGTCGCTAGTGCTAACCTAACCCTAAACCCACCCTAGCTAATCTTACACTTCTAGACAAAAACCTTGCAGAAAATCCAATTGAAGGGCTTGTCAACCTCCTTCAAGGCATCCTGCATGGCCGTCGGCGTGTCATATCCCACCTCCCCCAGCTTCAGCAAGAAGGCTTTGAGGCCTGTCAATGCAGAATTTGTTGACGGATTCTTGAGGTTTACGGTTTCAGAACATCTCTCCAGAGTTTAGGGTTGTTCGAGATCAGTGTAAACTATAGCCCTTCTCGGAACACTTTCTGGAACCCTCTCTAAGGAACCCCAAGAAACCGGAACACTCTGATCTTCGAAGCCCTGACCTCCTTCGGCCGCAATGACCTTCATTGCCAGAGTCTTTCCCGTTGCCGGCGGACCACAGAACAGGTGCAGACGCGGCTTGCTCTTTCGGACCTCCACACCCGAAACTGTTGCAGGAAACGCATGACAGCCAAGAACCCTTCAAGCCACCACAAACGAATGCAATGAGCCTCTTAGATTGAAAGGTCTCACCTATTCCCAGCATTACTATTCCTACTAATGCTACTATACAATTATTCCTATTATTACCACTACAAATGCTAGTATTGTTGCTATTATTAATACGATGATTACTACCCTTACCGTTCTCCACGATCATTACCAATATTACTAGTACTATTCACACTATTATTCTTCTTACTATTCAAACTATCATTACAATCATTACCATTCTTCCTACTACTGTTCATACTACTATTATTCTTATTATTCAAGCTATCATTACGATCATTACCATTCTTCCTACTCGCCGGGCCTCCCTTCCCCGGATGAGCTGCGAGGATCTTGCCAGCTTCTCTTGGTGAGACGCATCCTGGGACCTGAGGATGCCTCAGCTCTTGGGAGGCTCTTGCTGAGGGGTTTAGGGGGTCCGTTAAAGGTTCCCTTTATGGGATCCAATAAATCTCCTTTAAGGGTGTAGGATGGTATAGGCTAAGTTAGCAGAACCGGGATCTACGGGAAATATCATGGGTTCCTTAGTGTGGCGACTTAGATTAAATCCCGCTTGGGGGGTCTACTCTTGAAGGGTACCGCAGGGTTCTCCATCATAGGGTCGCTTGAAAGAGCCGCGAGGTGTCCCCTTTCAGGGTTTGGGGTTTAGGGCTTCCTTGAAGGGCTCCCTTGCCTAAAAGGGTTTCCTTCAAGGGCTTAGGTTTTTTAAGGCTGTTTTCAAGAGCTCGTATCAGAGCAGTTTCCTTCTCATAGTAGGGTTAAGATTTGAGATTTTGGAGGATCAGGAGTGTAGTACATGAGCGTTTGCAGCTTCGGGGTTGTGGAGTTCAGCTTTTGGATTGCGGGTGGTTGCCCTTGGGCTCCCCATGCCTCTTCACTAAGGATTCCTTCTCACGGAACCGCTGACAGAAGTTTAGGAACCTCGCCTCATTATCTTGATTGGAGTGGTCGAAAATCGAGAAAGAATGAGGTAAACAGTATTACCATCAGGCAGGACACTTGTGAAGATGTCTCTCTTCTGCTCAGACTCCGCATGATAGTTCCTCATAGACAAGGGTTGGGGGGGCCTTGGGCTCAGAGCTGAGGGTTTTTTCTTTTTGAGGGCTTAGGGTTTAGGGTTTAGGGTTTTTTTTTCGGGCCTGCTACAGTCGGAGAGTTGAGGGTTTAAGCTTCAGAGTTGCCCGGTTCAGGTGGCTTGAAAACACTTCGGATTCGCTGCTCTTAGCATGTCCTACACACACAGAGATCCGAGTGTCTCCAACGACACATGGGCATCGACCTCCAAGGGCTGGAGCATTCCCTCCGGACCATCGGAGGCGGATGAATTCCCATTCGCCTTCGCCTTCTTCGCTCCTCGGCCACTTGAGCAATGTGATTCTTGGTTAGCGTTTTATGGTCTAGGATGAATTAGTCGGCTTAGGTCTTTGGGGTTCTTTGCGGTTCAGGGTTTATGGTTGAGGGTTCATGCTTAGTTGCTCCTTCGTTCAGGTCTTCTTGTGCCTTAAACTTCGCTGCTCTCCGAGGCTCCATGCCCCAACTTGGCAATGATCTCCACCTCAGCTTCTGGGACTTTGTGCGGAGACCACTCCACAAAGCGCTGCGCGGCTGAAGACTCCTTGAAGGTCACAAAGCCAAAGGGTCGGAGATCCGCGGCCTTCGGATTGCTAAGAGCAGTTGGATACAAAGCTTCCATGTATATCTTCGATGGGCCGAACTAAAGACATCGTACACAAAAACATCCCCTCCGTCGAACGGACCTAGTTGGAACTATTGAAACCTGATGAACACGATGGGGGCGTGCCACCTTCCACGGCATCCACAGATCGTCGAAGTCACCGTACGATCGGATGTACCCTTCCAGTTTCTCTCTTTCCACCAAATCTCTCAAGGGTCCTGATGGCGGATCGCGTTGGGCTGGTCTCAATGTTCGAAGAGAAAACAGCATCTTGCAATTCGTGCTAGGGCTTGCTGGTCTCCCAAGCAAATTTTCCCATACACACACAGAGACCCACAGTTACTCTTGCTTTGGAGTGCTCTTGAACATATGGGTCAACACATGCAAACCATCACAAGTTCTAAAGTTAATCAGACCAAAAGGCTAAACCTTCGAACAGCCTGAACTGGCCATGCGGCCTTTTGTGCCGTCGCCGGCGCGCATGTAAATCCTGGTCCCTGCGCTCATGGCTCGGAAGACTTGGAAGCTGCGAGATCCGCTCACAAATAGCTTGAGCCACGGCTGAGAGCATCCCAACCGCTGCGACTGCGAGACCGGGACAGATGGGTGTGAGGGGGTTGTTTGATGGTGTTCTGCGCCTTGTGGCAAGTTGGGGCCTGGCTGATCGACCATGCTGGAACCCTGCTGAGAACGGAGCGACTCGCGTCCTCAACGGAAGCTACGCAAGCCAGCAAGTGGTAGTCAGAGAGCCCATCAAGACATGGCGGCTTGCGGTTGCAATGCTATGGGCCGGGCGTGATGGAGCGATCCCAAACTAAGCTTCGCCGCCAAGAACTTCACCTGCGATGTCGCTCGCACAGGAGCTATGAATGTGCCAAGAAGTACGGCCACATCGACTTTCTCGCTTGAACTGAACATGCATCGCAAGCTAAGCGAGGAGAGTGCAGATTCTGGTGCTGGGCCCTATATCATGTCACTGCGACACCACTTCCGCCTACACTGCTTACTGCCACTCGTTTTGCTGCGTGGCTGTGGTTTCGGAGCACCATAGAAAGCTGGACGCTGTCCCGACTGTGCCGCACCTATAGCGGCGAAGATGATGGCAACTGCCCAGCCAAGTCAAACCTGGCTGCTGAGCGACAAGCGCTTGAGGCCTGAAGCTCAGGAACACGAAAATATTGCAACAAATATCTACAAATCTCTTGGCTACTTCAAACACTTCAAGGGCTCCCGGCACGCCTCACGTCCGAAAGCTCATTCAGCCGGGTGCGGCCTGAAAATGCAAGCTTCAAAGACCGAATTGCTCAATGGCGGATTTGCCCGTGTAGAGGCCGGCGGCGATCTGCCCGAGGGCCGCGAACATGGCGATCCTGCTGTTAGGTGTGCGGTATTGGCGGAGACAGCTTGGCTATATGCTACTGTCGTACGGACCTAAAGAAGAACCGAAGAACAAAAACGCTGTGACCTGCTGACAGAAAAGCACGGGAAAGCCAGCCAGACCCGTAATACCCCTGTGACACTCCTGCCGTTGTTGATCTCTCTGTTGCGCATCTCAGCCGAGTAGTCATCCCCAACCAAAGGCAGGGGATTGCCAAAGTTACCTCGGAAACAAACTAGGTAATCAAATTGAGCCACAATCGGGGACCGAAGTCACCAGATTCAACATCCCAAGATGAAGGGGGGAGGCGACCAACCACAATATATACACACATGCCACACGAGATCCTGCAGCCAAGTCGCCTGGCTCTTTGCTGTCGTCCTGGACGAAGACAGCCGCCTCCAACACTGCGATGATGGCGATGGTGATAAGGAAACCCGTTTGGCCGGCACCTGTGCTGAAGGCCGAAATGTCCTTCGGCACGCCCTCCATGCCGGGCAGCTGCACCAAGCTCTGCGTCAGCATTCCGAGGGCTCCCATCATCGCCAATCCTGGAGTGCAGCGCGGCTGGTGGCGGTATATTGAAACATGTACTTTCATGACTTAAGGTGAGAGTCGGAATTCTCCGTTGTGAACCATCAGTCGACGCGTGAGCATCCGTCAAACAAAATTATCAAGAAGAGCTGCCCCAATAAGGACAAAGGTTCGACCGTGCTTGAGCTCCTTGGCTCGCAAGTCCTTGAAGGAAGCCTCGTCCTTGCAGAACCCGGCCGGATCAAAGAATCCCAAGGGCTCAGTGACGCCAATCTGTGCCTCGGGGCTGAACTTGCAAGCCACGGTCTTGCGGGCAGTCGGCTTCTTCATGCCCACAAAGCTCATCACAGCAGCACCCGTCGTGGCAGTTGCGGCAAGCGCCGAGTAGGTGCTGAAGCTAGACTCAGCCTTCACAGCTGTTGAGCCTCGAAGGCTGGTGGCGGTGTGGGACGCACCCGGTGCCACAAAGGCGTCGGCGCAAGGTGCAGCGAGGAGGCCCGCGGCGATCATGCTCTTCACGGAAGCCATTCCTAGTACTCGAATCTGAAGTAGGAAAGCGCGAGACCGCTGTGAAGCCGAAAGTATCTCACCGAAGGGCCTCTGCCACTCTAGGCAACACGCATGCCAATCGGCAGTGGTACCTCCACACTTCCTTGCGAACGACCGAGCGTGCTGTCGCCCGACTCCTGGACGCCTATTGCTGTTTCAACACGTGCACACCTGCATCAACCTCTTCCCATGCGTACAGACAACGATATCACTTCAAGCAAGTAATGTTTGGTCTTGGCCTAGTTCTTTTGCCTCCGGGCTGCAGGGCCAGGGGCTGACACCACTCCCGCCTACACTGCTTACTGCCACTCGTCTTGCTGCGTGGCTGTGGTTTCGGAGCACCATGGAAATCTGGATGCTGTCCCGACTGTGCCGCACCTGTAGCGGCGAAGATGATGGCAACTGCCCAGCCAAGTCAAACCTGGCTGCTGAGCGACAAGCGCTTGAGGCCTGAAGCTCAGGAACACGAAAATATTGCAACAAATATCTACAAATCTCTTGGCTACTTCAAACACTTCAAGGGCTCCCGGCACGCCTCACGTCCGAAAGCTCATTCAGCCGGGTGCGGCCTGAAAATGCAAGCTTCAAAGACCGAATTGCTCAATGGCGGATTTGCCCGTGTAGAGGCCGGCGGCGATCTGCCCGAGGGCCGCGAACATGGCGATCCTGCTGTTAGGTGTGCGGTGTTGGCGGAGACAGCTTGGCTATATGCTACTGTCGTACGGACCTAAAGAAGAACCGAAGAACAAAAACGCTGTGACCTGCTGACAGGAAAGCACAGGAAAGCCAGCCAGACCCGTAATACCCCTGTGACACTCCTGCCGTTGTTGATCTCTCTGTTGCGCATCTCAGCCGAGTAGTCATCCCCAACCAAAGGCAGGGGATTGCCAAAGTTGCCTTGGAAACAAACTAGGTAATCAAATTGAGCCACAATCGGGGACCGAAGTCACCAGATTCAACATCCCAAGACGAAGGGGGGAGGCGACCAACCACAATATATACACACATGTCACACGAGATCCTGCAGCCAAGTCGCCTGGCTCTTTGCTGTCGTCCTGGACGAAGACAGCCGCCTCCAACACTGCGATGATGGCGATGGTGATAAGGAAACCCGTTTGGCCGGCACCTGTGCTGAAGGCCGAAATGTCCTTCGGCACGCCCTCCATGCCGGGCAGCTGCACCAAGCTCTGCGTCAGCATTCCGAGGGCTCCCATCATCGCCAATCCTGGAGTGCTGCGCGGCTGGTGGCGGTATATTGAAACATGTACTTTCATGACTTAAGGTGAGAGTCGGAATTCTCCGTTGTGAACCATCAGTCGACGCGTGAGCATCCGTCAAACAAAATTATCAAGAAGAGCTGCCCCAATAAGGACAAAGGTTCGACCGTGCTTGAGCTCCTTGGCTCGCAAGTCCTTGAAGGAAGCCTCGTCCTTGCAGAACCCGGCCGGATCAAAGAATCCCAAGGGCTCAGTGACGCCAATCTGTGCCTCGGTGTTGTTCTGCTTGAGAGCTTGCAGCCTCCGACGACTATCAAGCTTGGCACGGTCCTTAGCGTCACATCTGTCGCCAGTGACGGCGACGCACATAGGCAAGCCATCTCAGCACCTCACGTGCTCTATCAATCCCACATCCAGCAGGCACCCAACCCATGCGACGTTGCATGACATCGCTTGGTATTTCAGGGCGTCCTGGTGCATCCACTTGACAATGCCACGCGACATGATCCCACGACGGAACTACATGAAAACCACATGCTTCACAACGCTGCGGAGTAGGAAGACCGCCCATTGCTGCATAGCAAGCAGGTGAGTGCGCAGCTCCAACCAGAACTGCACGCTGATCACCATCTGCAGCTTCCCACAAGCGCCTCGTCATGGCACAACCTGCTTCACTGTACACAACCTGCCCGCGGAGGCTGCGAGCGTCTCTGCGGTTCAACGCAAGAAAGCGATGAAAAAGCTGATGTCTCCAAGCTTCACGTAGCAAATGCTTGTAGTGTTCAGCATGTCCAAGTACTTTGAAATCAATCTGTACACCAAGATCCCAATGAGACCAAACCCCTAAACCGAATTGGTCGTTCGATGTGAAGTTCAGGCTCTTCATGAAACTGCGTGCTGTAGCCAGCCAACTGCCTGCAAGCGCACGCGTGGAACGACACGGTCCACCCCAGACTTGCGCTCTGTACAATGCATTGACTGAGGCGCATCCCGCACTAAAAGCAACGTCAGCGGAGTGCCCTTCGAGAAGATACTGTAAAGGCACAGCTCCCATACGATGTTCTTGCAGCGACTTCTTCTTCTTGGCCTGCAACGGGCGCAACTCCTTCACGGTTGGCCGCTTGAGCAAGTGACCCCAGGAGGCGAGAGGCACGATACGAGTGCGCCATAGACTTCGCTTGGCTTTGACAGGGATGCTAGCTCGCGAGAGCTTCGACGCAGCACTTTCAGCCTCACGCAGGCGCTTTTCGGTGGTAGGTCTGTGGGCCTGCGTTGCTTTCGCGCACAAATCCACACCAAGCACTCTTGCCGTATCGGCAAAGTTGAGACTGCTGAAGCCTTGCTTTTGAAGCTCTGTCTTGTCCTGCTCGCGACGACAAACCAGCGTGAGCTTAGCATCATTTTCCAGAAGACCAAAATCTCTGGACACTTCATCCCAATGGTCTTTCGCCTTCCTTGCTTCACGAGCATTTGGAGCCGTCAAATTGCGATCATCCAAAAATGAACAGACTGCCAAGCGAGGTTGCCTGGCACGAAGCGCACGCAATGGTGCCGACATCAGGATGTTGAGAGCAAGGGGACTGAGTGGATCCCCTTGCGGAAGGCTGCTTTCCAGAGTCTGCACCTCGGTCAGAGTCGAGCCGTCGAGCTGGATCCACCTGTGCTGGTCCATCCAGACGTGGCGCAACATGCTACCCATCCAGTTTGCCATGCCAGCTTTCTCCATGATTTGCAATGCAATCGACGGTCTGGTTCTGTCAAAACACTGCTTATAATCCAAACTCATCAAAATGTGCTTGTCGCACATGAAAGAATCCATGATGGAGGCCAATGCCGTCATGACATCTCTGCTATTGACTGCGCCATGCTGCGATCTATCAAAGATTGCTTCACTCCATGCTTTGACCTCGGGATCGGCCGCGAGAGCGGAGCCGAGTATTCGATACAAGCCGTTGAGAATCGTGATGGGCCTCATTTTGCTCACATCGCATGACGCGCTCTCAATCGGGATCTCCGTCTTAGGAATGTGTATCTGTCTCGCATGCTGAAAAGCAGTCGGCCACTGATTGCGAGCGCGCCACCGCTCCACCAGTTGCGCATAGGTGTTCCAAACTTCCCGCGGCATGGCCGCAAGTTCATCGCCTGACCATCCGTCAGGGCCCGCGGCGGTGTTGGCCAACTTGGATGCCGCGCCGGCCAGTGCTTTCCCCGTGAACTCGAAGTTCGGAAAGTCTGCTGAAACCCCTGTAAGCGACCATCGAGTGACGGCACGATGAACGTCATCGTGAGGCCTGTCCCAGACTTCTCGCCAGAACTTCTTAACGACTTTCAAAGACTCCTCCACGGTTGCGGTGGTTCGAGTCGTTTGTCCTGCCTTATAAGACAAAGCATTCGGCGGTGACGTTGTTTGGCCCTTGAGCCACTTGGTAGCTCCACTCCCTCCAGATGTCATCTGCCTCCGCCAGCTTTGTATCCTCTGCAAACTCTTGGCCCCAAGCTCTTTGGAGAGGGCTTGTTCAAGTACTTGCTCGCGTTCATCCCAGGAGCTAGGCAAAGGAACATCGTTTGGCCACGACTTCAAAGTTTTGCTCACCAACGCCTGCGGGAGGTTTCCAATTCTGATTTGGCGAACGATTTCACGTGTTCGACCCAAGATGTTGGCCAAACGTCGTGACCTGAAGGTGCCACGATGAGCATGCGAGAAATCAAAGCGCTGATGGATGAGTCGAGGCTTCGTGCCTTTCGGGCGCCAGTCCGGAATGAACTTCGGACCAGCACATGACGTAGACCGCATAGCGCTAGCACAAGCTGCTTCAAGCTTGGAGTTGGACCACTTCCATTCAGCTTCGGTGCTTCCAACGTCATGCACCACTTGATTGGGCCACGCCTCGGCCACGGCGGACTGCCACTGCTCAACAGTACACTCCACCGGCCTCGCATACCGCAAAGTGGGAGCGAACTGCCACAACGCAGCACGCTCCACAGGAATCTCAAAGTTTCCTACGAGCATCTTGTGATCTGAAACTGCCGTTTCTTCATAGCGGAGATGCGTGCTGCTTTCCGGGCTATTCGACAGAACATAATCAATGCATCTTTTGCCATCCCATCTGGAAGGAACTGCACACCGAACTCCTCCAACGCATTGTGTATGAAATCCTGAAACGTGTGCTTCGCCCGCCTGCGTATTGAAATCCCCAGCAATGAATATCGGAACTGCTGGGGCCGCGCCTTGGAAAGCATGTGCCAGAAGGTCAAGGAAAGGCTCCTGTTGACCTTTGCGCGCATAGGCGGAGGCAACGAGGCAGCTGCCCATGTCCACACACATGAGCTCTCCTTCTGCCGAGCTGATTTTGTGCCATTGTGCTGCTTTGCACGCTTTCTTCATGGCCAATGCAACGCCTCCCCAAGTGTGACTGCGGCCTCTGGAATCCACCGTCGGTTCAGAGAGCGCATGCCAGACCCTGTAACCACGTTTTTGTAAGAGGCCAGAAAAATGTCTCGCCGTCTCCTCGTTGAAGTGTGTCTCCTGAAGACACAGTACATCTGGACTTCCATGTTGGAGATGATCAATGATCTGAAAGGCACCAGCCGTGCTACCTACGTTAAGGCACCAAAACGATAATCGATTACGCCATGGGGGCCCCGGATTCTCCTCAACATCGCCATCCTCCGTAAGCCGTCGTTGCCACTGATTCGGTGCATCATCGCGTTCGGCAGGGAGTCAGTCTTGGGAGCCACTTGCGCGTGGTCGGATCTTTGTCGTGTTGAGCTGCTTCACCTCACTGTGCGACAGTTTCCAAATAGACTGTAGCTTGCGCTTGTTTTTCAACTGTGCCATGCCCCAAAGCCTCCGACGACCCTTGGATTGCATCAACTGTCGTCTGTCATCCTTGCCCTTGCACTTGAAGTGGATTGCCTGAATCGCACTGATGGATTTCCAATAGCGCGTGCAGTTTGAGCACGTGTATCTCCGGCGCTGACTAGTATGCAAAACCTCGACGATCTTATGGCCACCGCCTCGCAAGCTTTCCAAAACCTTCGATTCGCGGGACTTGAACTGCAACATTCTGGCAGCATAGAGACTGTTGACCGTTACGCGCTCCGTCAACCCAGCCTTGGAGAGATGAATGCTGCGATTGAGTTTCTGATCAGCTCCTTCGGGCGCCTTCTTGCACGATGCCAAATGACTCTTAATGCTTGCTTTCGCCTGGGTCCTGTGCAAACGAGGAAGCCCTTGGTGGCACCAGGCACATTCCCACACCATTCGTTTCCCCAGTGCTTTCTTGCTTAATGTCGGAATGACGGTGCACTCGTTGAGACGGTGAAACTTCTTGCGGTCTTCATTCGGATGGACCTTCTGAATGTGTCTGTGGCGGGCGGCTGAAAGCATCGGGCGTAGGCTAGCTCGGCAAAGCATATGACAGACATTGCAAACCCACACATGTGACTCGCAAATGCCCGTCTTGCTACTTTTATCTTGCTCCGCATGGGACATCTCAGAATGACTGCCTGCCATGCTTGACCCTCTCCTGTGTATTGTACATGAAGAGCCCAAGTGCTGCTGATTACCACCATCGCAATGAATCGTTGTCATTGGCGAGCTCTTGGTGGTTCCCGCCTCACGTACAGGAACATCTGCTCCAGAATTCTTTGTCCTTGATTTCTTCGTCGATGCAAAGTCCGAGAGCCTCAGCGAGTTCTGATCATGACTGCGCTTGTTGCTTTCATGATTCACCGATCCAAAGTCTGATAAGCGAAGAGACCCTACACCGCCACGCATCAAAGCTGTCAGGTGCCCTTTACCTCCAGCTTCATCTTGCTCACGTTTGCGACGGATGAATTCCTCCTCCCGAGCATCTTGAAGGCATTCATAATGACAATCAGAATAGAAAAGGTAGACCCCCGCGTTGCGCGCATTCTCGTTGAAGATTCGCACCTCTCCTTTGGAGGTTGCCACCCAAACCCTTATGTTGAAAGCTTCGGCAAATGCTAACACTTCCAGCGCACCACTCCACACGCCTAACATTTGTTGCTGATCCACATATGCCTGGAAGGTGCCGTCCTCTTGTTGCTGTCCTCGAGCGTCCGGTTTGCCCTGGCCCAACCATAACTCTTCGTAGTGCGAGAACCATTTCTTGAAGGCCGCCGTGGTGAAGGCCCGGATTTGCCGATGGGAACGTTCTTCACCTTTACGCGCGACTTCACCTGCATGATTAAGAGCTTGGGCTAAGGAGTGATAGAGACAATCGCCCTGACCCGAATTTCGCAATATTTTTCCAGTTGGCATCCATGTGCACTTTGCCATCGCAGCGGCTCGCTGCGGTTGATGTGTCTCTGCCGCTCGCTTGGCACCTTTGGTCTCAGGCTGAATGCCGGCATCAAGCTGCAAAGGCTCACCATCCTGCTGAATGACTTCCCTGGAAGCAGAGATTGTTTCTTCGGTTTCCACCTCCATGTGGAGGTCTGGTGATTTGCGCGCACCATAGTAGCTATATGTCCCCTCCGCAACTTCAGCAACTGGTAAGACATCGCGGTAGGACACTCGCTTTTCCGGTTGCAGGCCTCGAGCACTGGAGATAGGAGCTGCACGCCATTTAGCATCCATCATCGCCTGCAGTTCGAGCTTTTCGCCTGCACCTATCTCCATTTCTGCTTGGACACTCTGTAGCCCGTCCCCCCGACGTGCACTGAAGTACCAACTTGCGCCTGGTCTCTGAAGGGACTTGCCTGTGATGCTGGCATCCTGGTAGCCCATGGCCATCAACACCTGAGAAACATCATGCGTGGTCCAGGCCTTAGGCACCCATCGAATCGTCCATTTATGAGCCGGCTCCTTCCATCGAGTATCTCGGGGGGACACCCTGACTCCCAATTGATGCGCCCCTCGAACTACACCGAATGAGCCCTCCTGCCGTACTCGAGTCAAGTACTCATCCCATGTTTCTGGGTTTATCCATGGGATCCACAAGACTTTGGTGGCTTGGTTGTCACCTGGGTACTCGCCTACGGCCTCGACGAACCACGTACCGAAATCATTGCTGGACCCGCTGTGAGCAAGTAACTGTTGAGCCAAACTTTGATCATGAACTCGTAGTAGCCCTTGCACAAGACCAGCATGAACCTCCTGCCATGCCCATGTGTCTCCTAACTCCTGTCTGGACTCTGGAAATGCGGATGTTGCCCATTTCCTAGCCTGCGGCCCTGGAGACTGCAAGACTCGCTTCCAGTCCGAGTTGTTGTAATGCCATTGACATGCGAGTCTGAGTACCCACGAAGGTCGAGCGGCACTTGGCGATTGCACTCCTGCTGGAAGCTTCATCGCGATTCTTGTGCGTAGTATGGGCTGTTCTGGCCCAAACCGGAAGATCCAACAGGTGCGGGCCTGAAGTCTGCCATCGAGGTGACCTGGCACTTTGATGCGCGTCGCACTGCTACCAAACTCCTGAAAAGCGGGATCCAACTCTTCAATCTTTGATGGATGACTTCCTGCAAGAATGACTGCTATGCTCCCTCCCACCGTGGCGGCGATCATGTTAAGTATCTCCAATGCTTCATCTTGCATCTCAACTTGCACGACCCAAGTCCGCCCCTCATCTACATCCAACTGATTTGCAAGGTCTGCTGGGCCACTGCTAAAAAGAACATCACTCCCTCGCTCTTCTACCCAGTCTTCCTTTCTGAAAGACCACTTGATTTCCTTCCACGTCTCCGATGCTGCTCGCTTCCAGCGATTGGACCTGCGATTGCTCTTATCAGGAGTTGGGTCGGGTCCCGAGGGCCAGGAGGAATGGGTACCGTCACTCCACGGATCAACCCATGAACCGGGACCTGCGGTCCACCACTCCCCTGTCCCTACACCCCACAACCCTGAATCACAATGGTGATGTTGCCAACGCTGCTGTTGCCATCGATTCGCCCGCCTGGTGTTTGCGGACACTGTCACATCAAGGGTTTGATTTGCACCTTCATGTTCAGCAGCAAGGATTGCCGCTAAGCGATGGATGAGTTTGCCCTGTCTTGGACCGTCAATCGCGGCCCGGAGCTTCTTGACCAGAGCAACTTCATCACTTTCCTGATGCTTCTGAGCTTTATGTTTATTTTTTCCCCCACCACGAAGCCCTGCCGCGCAAGACATCAAACTGGCATGAGAGGGTATAGCATGATCAACACTCAACTGACATGAACTTGTCGCTGACGAATGTGTCACTTGTATCGGGCCCTGAGGTCCGGGCGCACAGCGAGCTGACACACCGCAGGTATCAACCAGACCTAGGTCCTGCAGCCCACTGCACTCCCGTGCCTTCTCGCCACGATTCACAATGGAAGCATGTGAATGCACACGCCTGCGCATGCGTCTCAATCTTCGCTTTCTGATAAGTCTAATTCTGGCACACGATCGACCCAGAACAATGCCGAGGCCCAAGCTATGTCCATCGATCAATTTCCACTTTCGCCGAAATGGAACCCTACGCAACTTGCGAATGAGAGCACGTCCCCATGAGACACGCTGCCTTCCCACCCGCATGGCTGCCCATGCAGATGCTTGCTTGCGCATCCGAATCATGTCAAGATACTTCTGTCTTTTGGTCTGCTCTGTCTTGCGTCGGATCAACACAACAACAGCACTGAAAAACACTGTTGCAAGGTAGATCTGAGTCGTAAGCTGAATCATCTCATGCCACAGCAACTCTATGGCCTGCACAAACTGGAGCAATCCGCACCACAGCAAAGCTATGGCCCGCATCCACCACGAGGAGGTTTGCTCTCGGATGCCAATCTGTGCCTCGGGGCTGAACTTGCAAGCCACGGTCTTGCGGGCAGTCGGCTTCTTCATGCCCACAAAGCTCATCACAGCAGCACCCGTCGTGGCAGTTGCGGCAAGCGCCGAGTAGGTGCTGAAGCTAGACTCAGCCTTCACAGCTGTTGAGCCTCGAAGGCTGGTGGCGGTGTGGGACGCACCCGGTGCCACAAAGGCGTCGGCGCAAGGTGCAGCGAGGAGGCCCGCGGCGATCATGCTCTTCACGGAAGCCATTCCTAGTACTCGAATCTGAAGTAGGAAAGCGCGAGACCGCTGTGAAGCCGAAAGTATCTCACCGAAGGGCCTCTGCCACTCTAGGCAACACGCATGCCAATCGGCAGTGGTACCTCCACACTTCCTTGCGAACGACCGAGCGTGCTGTCGCCCGACTCCTGGACGCCTATTGCTGTTTCAACACGTGCACACCTGCATCAACCTCTTCCCATGCGTACAGACAACGATATCACTTCAAGCAAGTAATGTTTGGTCTTGGCCTAGTTCTTTTGCCTCCGGGCTGCAGGGCCAGGGGCTGACACCACTCCCGCCTACACTGCTTACTGCCACTCGTCTTGCTGCGTGGCTGTGGTTTCGGAGCACCATGGAAATCTGGATGCTGTCCCGACTGTGCCGCACCTGTAGCGGCGAAGATGATGGCAACTGCCCAGCCAAGTCAAACCTGGCTGCTGAGCGACAAGCGCTTGAGGCCTGAAGCTCAGGAACACGAAAATATTGCAACAAATATCTACAAATCTCTTGGCTACTTCAAACACTTCAAGGGCTCCCGGCACGCCTCACGTCCGAAAGCTCATTCAGCCGGGTGCGGCCTGAAAATGCAAGCTTCAAAGACCGAATTGCTCAATGGCGGATTTGCCCGTGTAGAGGCCGGCGGCGATCTGCCCGAGGGCCGCGAACATGGCGATCCTGCTGTTAGGTGTGCGGTGTTGGCGGAGACAGCTTGGCTATATGCTACTGTCGTACGGACCTAAAGAAGAACCGAAGAACAAAAACGCTGTGACCTGCTGACAGGAAAGCACAGGAAAGCCAGCCAGACCCGTAATACCCCTGTGACACTCCTGCCGTTGTTGATCTCTCTGTTGCGCATCTCAGCCGAGTAGTCATCCCCAACCAAAGGCAGGGGATTGCCAAAGTTGCCTTGGAAACAAACTAGGTAATCAAATTGAGCCACAATCGGGGACCGAAGTCACCAGATTCAACATCCCAAGACGAAGGGGGGAGGCGACCAACCACAATATATACACACATGTCACACGAGATCCTGCAGCCAAGTCGCCTGGCTCTTTGCTGTCGTCCTGGACGAAGACAGCCGCCTCCAACACTGCGATGATGGCGATGGTGATAAGGAAACCCGTTTGGCCGGCACCTGTGCTGAAGGCCGAAATGTCCTTCGGCACGCCCTCCATGCCGGGCAGCTGCACCAAGCTCTGCGTCAGCATTCCGAGGGCTCCCATCATCGCCAATCCTGGAGTGCTGCGCGGCTGGTGGCGGTATATTGAAACATGTACTTTCATGACTTAAGGTGAGAGTCGGAATTCTCCGTTGTGAACCATCAGTCGACGCGTGAGCATCCGTCAAACAAAATTATCAAGAAGAGCTGCCCCAATAAGGACAAAGGTTCGACCGTGCTTGAGCTCCTTGGCTCGCAAGTCCTTGAAGGAAGCCTCGTCCTTGCAGAACCCGGCCGGATCAAAGAATCCCAAGGGCTCAGTGACGCCAATCTGTGCCTCGGGGCTGAACTTGCAAGCCACGGTCTTGCGGGCAGTCGGCTTCTTCATGCCCACAAAGCTCATCACAGCAGCACCCGTCGTGGCAGTTGCGGCAAGCGCCGAGTAGGTGCTGAAGCTAGACTCAGCCTTCACAGCTGTTGAGCCTCGAAGGCTGGTGGCGGTGTGGGACGCACCCGGTGCCACAAAGGCGTCGGCGCAAGGTGCAGCGAGGAGGCCCGCGGCGATCATGCTCTTCACGGAAGCCATTCCTAGTACTCGAATCTGAAGTAGGAAAGCGCGAGACCGCTGTGAAGCCGAAAGTATCTCACCGAAGGGCCTCTGCCACTCTAGGCAACACGCATGCCAATCGGCAGTGGTACCTCCACACTTCCTTGCGAACGACCGAGCGTGCTGTCGCCCGACTCCTGGACGCCTATTGCTGTTTCAACACGTGCACACCTGCATCAACCTCTTCCCATGCGTACAGACAACGATATCACTTCAAGCAAGTAATGTTTGGTCTTGGCCTAGTTCTTTTGCCTCCGGGCTGCAGGGCCAGGGGCTGACACCACTCCCGCCTACACTGCTTACTGCCACTCGTCTTGCTGCGTGGCTGTGGTTTCGGAGCACCATGGAAATCTGGATGCTGTCCCGACTGTGCCGCACCTGTAGCGGCGAAGATGATGGCAACTGCCCAGCCAAGTCAAACCTGGCTGCTGAGCGACAAGCGCTTGAGGCCTGAAGCTCAGGAACACGAAAATATTGCAACAAATATCTACAAATCTCTTGGCTACTTCAAACACTTCAAGGGCTCCCGGCACGCCTCACGTCCGAAAGCTCATTCAGCCGGGTGCGGCCTGAAAATGCAAGCTTCAAAGACCGAATTGCTCAATGGCGGATTTGCCCGTGTAGAGGCCGGCGGCGATCTGCCCGAGGGCCGCGAACATGGCGATCCTGCTGTTAGGTGTGCGGTGTTGGCGGAGACAGCTTGGCTATATGCTACTGTCGTACGGACCTAAAGAAGAACCGAAGAACAAAAACGCTGTGACCTGCTGACAGGAAAGCACAGGAAAGCCAGCCAGACCCGTAATACCCCTGTGACACTCCTGCCGTTGTTGATCTCTCTGTTGCGCATCTCAGCCGAGTAGTCATCCCCAACCAAAGGCAGGGGATTGCCAAAGTTGCCTTGGAAACAAACTAGGTAATCAAATTGAGCCACAATCGGGGACCGAAGTCACCAGATTCAACATCCCAAGACGAAGGGGGGAGGCGACCAACCACAATATATACACACATGTCACACGAGATCCTGCAGCCAAGTCGCCTGGCTCTTTGCTGTCGTCCTGGACGAAGACAGCCGCCTCCAACACTGCGATGATGGCGATGGTGATAAGGAAACCCGTTTGGCCGGCACCTGTGCTGAAGGCCGAAATGTCCTTCGGCACGCCCTCCATGCCGGGCAGCTGCACCAAGCTCTGCGTCAGCATTCCGAGGGCTCCCATCATCGCCAATCCTGGAGTGCTGCGCGGCTGGTGGCGGTATATTGAAACATGTACTTTCATGACTTAAGGTGAGAGTCGGAATTCTCCGTTGTGAACCATCAGTCGACGCGTGAGCATCCGTCAAACAAAATTATCAAGAAGAGCTGCCCCAATAAGGACAAAGGTTCGACCGTGCTTGAGCTCCTTGGCTCGCAAGTCCTTGAAGGAAGCCTCGTCCTTGCAGAACCCGGCCGGATCAAAGAATCCCAAGGGCTCAGTGACGCCAATCTGTGCCTCGGGGCTGAACTTGCAAGCCACGGTCTTGCGGGCAGTCGGCTTCTTCATGCCCACAAAGCTCATCACAGCAGCACCCGTCGTGGCAGTTGCGGCAAGCGCCGAGTAGGTGCTGAAGCTAGACTCAGCCTTCACAGCTGTTGAGCCTCGAAGGCTGGTGGCGGTGTGGGACGCACCCGGTGCCACAAAGGCGTCGGCGCAAGGTGCAGCGAGGAGGCCCGCGGCGATCATGCTCTTCACGGAAGCCATTCCTAGTACTCGAATCTGAAGTAGGAAAGCGCGAGACCGCTGTGAAGCCGAAAGTATCTCACCGAAGGGCCTCTGCCACTCTAGGCAACACGCATGCCAATCGGCAGTGGTACCTCCACACTTCCTTGCGAACGACCGAGCGTGCTGTCGCCCGACTCCTGGACGCCTATTGCTGTTTCAACACGTGCACACCTGCATCAACCTCTTCCCATGCGTACAGACAACGATATCACTTCAAGCAAGTAATGTTTGGTCTTGGCCTAGTTCTTTTGCCTCCGGGCTGCAGGGCCAGGGGCTGACACCACTCCCGCCTACACTGCTTACTGCCACTCGTCTTGCTGCGTGGCTGTGGTTTCGGAGCACCATGGAAATCTGGATGCTGTCCCGACTGTGCCGCACCTGTAGCGGCGAAGATGATGGCAACTGCCCAGCCAAGTCAAACCTGGCTGCTGAGCGACAAGCGCTTGAGGCCTGAAGCTCAGGAACACGAAAATATTGCAACAAATATCTACAAATCTCTTGGCTACTTCAAACACTTCAAGGGCTCCCGGCACGCCTCACGTCCGAAAGCTCATTCAGCCGGGTGCGGCCTGAAAATGCAAGCTTCAAAGACCGAATTGCTCAATGGCGGATTTGCCCGTGTAGAGGCCGGCGGCGATCTGCCCGAGGGCCGCGAACATGGCGATCCTGCTGTTAGGTGTGCGGTGTTGGCGGAGACAGCTTGGCTATATGCTACTGTCGTACGGACCTAAAGAAGAACCGAAGAACAAAAACGCTGTGACCTGCTGACAGGAAAGCACAGGAAAGCCAGCCAGACCCGTAATACCCCTGTGACACTCCTGCCGTTGTTGATCTCTCTGTTGCGCATCTCAGCCGAGTAGTCATCCCCAACCAAAGGCAGGGGATTGCCAAAGTTGCCTTGGAAACAAACTAGGTAATCAAATTGAGCCACAATCGGGGACCGAAGTCACCAGATTCAACATCCCAAGACGAAGGGGGGAGGCGACCAACCACAATATATACACACATGTCACACGAGATCCTGCAGCCAAGTCGCCTGGCTCTTTGCTGTCGTCCTGGACGAAGACAGCCGCCTCCAACACTGCGATGATGGCGATGGTGATAAGGAAACCCGTTTGGCCGGCACCTGTGCTGAAGGCCGAAATGTCCTTCGGCACGCCCTCCATGCCGGGCAGCTGCACCAAGCTCTGCGTCAGCATTCCGAGGGCTCCCATCATCGCCAATCCTGGAGTGCTGCGCGGCTGGTGGCGGTATATTGAAACATGTACTTTCATGACTTAAGGTGAGAGTCGGAATTCTCCGTTGTGAACCATCAGTCGACGCGTGAGCATCCGTCAAACAAAATTATCAAGAAGAGCTGCCCCAATAAGGACAAAGGTTCGACCGTGCTTGAGCTCCTTGGCTCGCAAGTCCTTGAAGGAAGCCTCGTCCTTGCAGAACCCGGCCGGATCAAAGAATCCCAAGGGCTCAGTGACGCCAATCTGTGCCTCGGGGCTGAACTTGCAAGCCACGGTCTTGCGGGCAGTCGGCTTCTTCATGCCCACAAAGCTCATCACAGCAGCACCCGTCGTGGCAGTTGCGGCAAGCGCCGAGTAGGTGCTGAAGCTAGACTCAGCCTTCACAGCTGTTGAGCCTCGAAGGCTGGTGGCGGTGTGGGACGCACCCGGTGCCACAAAGGCGTCGGCGCAAGGTGCAGCGAGGAGGCCCGCGGCGATCATGCTCTTCACGGAAGCCATTCCTAGTACTCGAATCTGAAGTAGGAAAGCGCGAGACCGCTGTGAAGCCGAAAGTATCTCACCGAAGGGCCTCTGCCACTCTAGGCAACACGCATGCCAATCGGCAGTGGTACCTCCACACTTCCTTGCGAACGACCGAGCGTGCTGTCGCCCGACTCCTGGACGCCTATTGCTGTTTCAACACGTGCACACCTGCATCAACCTCTTCCCATGCGTACAGACAACGATATCACTTCAAGCAAGTAATGTTTGGTCTTGGCCTAGTTCTTTTGCCTCCGGGCTGCAGGGCCAGGGGCTGACACCACTCCCGCCTACACTGCTTACTGCCACTCGTCTTGCTGCGTGGCTGTGGTTTCGGAGCACCATGGAAATCTGGATGCTGTCCCGACTGTGCCGCACCTGTAGCGGCGAAGATGATGGCAACTGCCCAGCCAAGTCAAACCTGGCTGCTGAGCGACAAGCGCTTGAGGCCTGAAGCTCAGGAACACGAAAATATTGCAACAAATATCTACAAATCTCTTGGCTACTTCAAACACTTCAAGGGCTCCCGGCACGCCTCACGTCCGAAAGCTCATTCAGCCGGGTGCGGCCTGAAAATGCAAGCTTCAAAGACCGAATTGCTCAATGGCGGATTTGCCCGTGTAGAGGCCGGCGGCGATCTGCCCGAGGGCCGCGAACATGGCGATCCTGCTGTTAGGTGTGCGGTGTTGCCGGAGACGGCTTGGCTATGCTACTGTCGTACGGACCTTCAGAAGAACCGAAGAACAAAAACGCTGTGACCTGCTGACAGAAAAGCACAGGAAAGCCAGCCAGACCCGTAATACCCCTGTGACACTCCTGCCGTTGTTGATCTCTCTGTTGCGCATCTCAGCCGAGTAGTCATCCCCAACCAAAGGCAGGGGATTGCCAAAGTTACCTCGGAAACAAACTAGGTAATCAAATTGAGCCACAATCGGGGACCGAAGTCACCAGATTCAACATCCCAAGATGAAGGGGGGAGGCTACCAACCACAATATATACACACTTTTCACACGAGATCCTGCAGCCAAGTCGCCTGGCTCTTTGCTGTCGTCCTGGACGAAGACAGCCGCCTCCAACACTGCGATGATGGCGATGGTGATAAGGAAACCCGTTTGGCCGGCACCTGTGCTGAAGGCCGAAATGTCCTTCGGCACGCCCTCCATGCCGGGCAGCTGCACCAAGCTCTGCGTCAGCATTCCGAGGGCTCCCATCATCGCCAATCCTGGAGTACTGCGCGGCTGGTGACGGTATATTGAAACATGTACTTTCATGACTTAAGGTGAGAGTCGGAATTCTCCGTTGTGAACCATCAGTCGACGCGTGAGCATCCGTCAAACAAAATTATCAAGAAGAGCTGCCCCAATAAGGACAAAGGTTCGACCGTGCTTGAGCTCCTTGGCTCGCAAGTCCTTGAAGGAAGCCTCGTCCTTGCAGAACCCGGCCGGATCAAAGAATCCCAAGGGCTCAGTGACGCCAATCTGTGCCTCGGGGCTGAACTTGCAAGCCACGGTGTTGCGGGCAGTCGGCTTCTTCATGCCCACAAAGCTCATCACAGCAGCACCCGTCGTGGCAGTTGCGGCAAGCGCCGAGTAGGTGCTGAAGCTAGACTCAGCCTTCACAGCTGTTGAGCCTCGAAGGCTGGTGGCGGTGTGGGACGCACCCGGTGCCACAAAGGCGTCGGCGCAAGGTGCAGCGAGGAGGCCCGCGGCGATCATGCTCTTCACGGAAGCCATTCCTAGTACTCGAATCTGAAGTAGGAAAGCGCGAGACCGCTGTGAAGCCGAAAGTATCTCACCGAAGGGCCTCTGCCACTCTAGGCAACACGCATGCCAATCGGCAGTGGTACCTTCACACTTCCTTGCGAACGACCGAGCGTGCTGTCGCCCGACTCCTGGACGCCTTTTGCTGTTTCAAAACGTGCACACCTGCATCAACCTCTTCCCATGCGTACAGACAACGATATCACTTCAAGCAAGTAATGTTTGGTTTTGGCCTAGTTCTTTTGCCTCCGGGCTGCAGGGCCAGGGGCTGACACCACTCCCGCCTACACTGCTTACTGCCACTCGTTTTGCTGCGTGGCTGTGGTTTCGGAGCACCATGGAAATCTGGATGCTGTCCCGACTGTGCCGCACCTGTAGCGGCGAAGATGAGGGCAACTGCCCGGCCAAGTCAAACCTGGCTGCTGAGCGACAAGCGCTTGAGGCCTGAAGCTCAGGAACACGAAAATATTGCAACAAATATCTACAAATCTCTTGGCTACTTCAAACACTTCAAGGGCTCCCGGCACGCCTCACGTCCGAAAGCTCATTCAGCCGGGTGCGGCCTGAAAATGCAAGCTTCAAAGACCGAATTGCTCAATGGCGGATTTGCCCGTGTAGAGGCCGGCGGCGATCTGCCCGAGGGCCGCGAACATGGCGATCCTGCTGTTAGGTGTGGGGTGTTGCCGGAGACGGCTTGGCTATGCTACTGTCGTACGGACCTTCAGAAGAACCGAAGAACAAAAACGCTGTGACCTGCTGACAGAAAAGCACAGGAAAGCCAGCCAGACCCGTAATACCCCTGTGACACTCCTGCCGTTGTTGATCTCTCTGTTGCGCATCTCAGCCGAGTAGTCATCCCCAACCAAAGGCAGGGGATTGCCAAAGTTACCTCGGAAACAAACTAGGTAATCAAATTGAGCCACAATCGGGGACCGAAGTCACCAGATTCAACATCCCAAGATGAAGGGGGGAGGCGACCAACCACAATATATACACACTTTTCACACGAGATCCTGCAGCCAAGTCGCCTGGCTCTTTGCTGTCGTCCTGGACGAAGACAGCCGCCTCCAACACTGCGATGATGGCGATGGTGATAAGGAAACCCGTTTGGCCGGCACCTGTGCTGAAGGCCGAAATGTCCTTCGGCACGCCCTCCATGCCGGGCAGCTGCACCAAGCTCTGCGTCAGCATTCCGAGGGCTCCCATCATCGCCAATCCTGGAGTACTGCGTGGCTGGTGGCGGTATATTGAAACATGTACTTTCATGACTTGAAGTGAGAGTCGGAAGTCTCCGTTGTGAACCATCAGTCGACGCGTGAGCATCCGTCAAACAAAATTATCAAGAAGAGCTGCCCCAATAAGGACAAAGGTTCGACCGTGCTTGAGCTCCTTGGCTCGCAAGTCCTTGAAGGAAGCCTCGTCCTTGCAGAACCCGGCCGGATCAAAGAATCCCAAGGGCTCAGTGACGCCAATCTGTGCCTCAGGGCTGAACTTGCAAGCCACGGTCTTGCGGGCAGTCGGCTTCTTCGTGCCCACAAAGCTCATCACAGCAGCACCCGTCGTGGCAGATGCGGCAAGCGCTGAGTACGTGCTGAAGCTAGACTCAGCCTTCACAGCCGTTGAGCCTCGAAGGCGGGTAGCGCTGTGGGACGCACCCGGTGCCACAAAGGCGTCGGCGCAAGGCGCAGCGAGGAGGCCCGCGGCGATCATGCTCTTCACGGAAGCCATTCCTAGTACTCGAGTCCGATAGAATCTGAAGTAGGAAAGCGCGAGATGGGCCGCTGTGAAGCCGAAAGTATCTCACCGAAGGGCCTCTGCCACTCTAGGCAACACGCATGCCAATCGGCAGTGGTACCTCCACACTTCCTTGCAAACGACTGAGACCGAGCACTCTGTCGCCCGAACCCACATCACATAAGCATTTGTGCCAACCCCGTCACATGCATACATGCAGCTACACTCTTGCTGCGCGGTATGTATGCATATATGAACCTTGCAATGAAATAAAACACGGAATGCAAGAGTCGCGGAATGCATGTGTGTGTGCGCGCTTGCATGTTCAATTATTTATGTATGTATTTTTACATGCACACGCAGATGAACAAACAGACAAGCAAGCCTCATTATCCGTGGCTGATCACCATTAACATAGATTGCGATGGCGTAGCAATTCAAACTTACGCGTAGCCATTCCCAAGTGCATCACCACTCTCGCCTGAGCCCGAACCTCTCCACGCAAAGACTGAAGGAGGAGCGATCAGGTATTGCCCCGCAAAGAAGGCCCACCGAAAATCCAAACAGCCCGGAAAGGGGGCGCCGGTGTCAGAGGCGCTGCACCCTCGTTCAGGCTCTCGGGCAATAGGGGAAGATTGTGGGCATGACAAGACCACAACAGAAATTAAAGATTTGAATGTGGTTACATGTGGTACATACGTAGAGGAAAGACGCATCAGGCATAATTTCCAACACGTCCCTCCATCGGGAGAACGGGTTCGGCCTGGCGATCTGGCAATGCGCAGTTTCGAGGCAGCCGACCAAGCTTTGAGCTCGCGGAGGGCACCTGCAAATGTGCAGAACTCCCTGGAATTTTGGTTCTGCGACAATCGGAGGCTCTGGTGCCTCGTCCGGAACTCTGCAGTTTCCACATCCCTCGGATGGCACGGACAGATGTGGCCAACTGCGTTCTCTTCTGTGCGAGCTTCGTTAGACATGGACCTCTTACATAATAGAACTTCATTGTGAAGAGCATTCCGCACACACGGCCACGTTGCAAGATGATCCAAAGCGGAACGACCAGCACTTAACACTTAACGCCGTCCTCGCAGTGCGATGCAGTGCGCATGATGCTGCTGTGGAACCGAAACAGCTTGCGTCGATCCAGGACACAGATTCGTTCAATAACATTCAACACGTGAATCCTGCCAAGCAACATGAACACCGATGATTCCGGCCTGCATCTAAATGGACCAACTGTCTAGATTGGCAATCGTCTCATGTGTATTCCTTCACTGGCCAAGGGTGTGCTCTAAACACTTCACCCAACAACAGGTACAATACATCTGCAACCGATGCATACAAACACATGCAGAAGATCACATACCGTCAAATACCAATGTCAATGCATCCACACAGCGCATTGCAGGGCAGGTGCTAACAAGCTGAATGCTAGAACATGTCGAAGACCATAAGTAGACTCAGTTCACATGCGACATGCATGTCAAGATACACCGTGCCCGTGTCTTGCCAACACCCTGCGGCCAGGCGCGCAGATGGCAACATCGCTTTACCAATAGGCCCAAATGGGTGGTTGTCAAATATAATGGTACCTTTTGGGGTCTCTTTTTGTCATACGGCACCTCATATCTAGGGTACCCAAAAGGGACCCCAATTTTGACAACCACCCAAATGATCCTCTACACATGCACACATTCATTATGCAAAAGATATTGTGTAAAAGACATAAACATAGACGAACACCTAAAATCTACTTCATCCAGTCGTGTTGCCTAGCTTGCATCGCCCTTTCGGAGTCTCCGCACATGGGTTCAGGTGCCTGTCTGGCGCGACGACACGCTCCTACAAGCTCTACTGTCTGGGGCGACGACACGCTCCTGCAAGTTCTACCGAGCTCTCACAACCAGCCGAGGTCGCAGCATATGTCCCAAGCCTGCAGCATTTGGGATCCAACACCACAGCCAGAAGCAGGAAGCTGTGGCACAGACCGATACACGGCCACTACGCAAGCCACAAGGGCGTTTCCATGCGAGGCTTGTTTCCAAACCTTCCGCCCCTTCGGGAGCTGCTGCAAAGCGACATGAGCAGAGATGTTGGGTCCAAACATCCGTAGTGTGAGCCTTGCAGGCATGTTGGCAATCGCGGCGTCGACTTCCAGGAGACCGCACACGCCAGATCGAGAATGCAGCGAGGGAGATCCAACTTTCATACTTATATAACGATGCCAACCATTCACTTTTGTCCCCATCTGTAGCTACATGACTGTACCTGCGGTGAGCAGTGGCCATGCTGGGAGGCGAATGCCGAAAGATGCTGAAAGGCTTGGGACGTCAGCAACATCGACTTGAGGCCTGCTTCCTTACTATCAAAGGGGAGAAGGAGGGACCCTTAATTGGGACCCTTACCCTATAATGGGCATTAAGGGCATATTACCCTTGGATACTAGTATCCGCAGAGACGCTTACTTGCGGAATTCAACCCAGATCTTCCAAGCCGCAGGGCGATATCGTCCACACACTCTTCAAGAGGATTCCCAAGCATGGGGCCCCCATCATCGAGATCATGGCAGACCCACCCTTCCTTTTTAAAGAAGATGGGAGGCATCCCTTGACGATGTTTCCGTGTCGCCTGGGAGCCCTTGCAGCCATCACCCGCACATCTAAGATGACATGCATACTATGCAGACATGGCTTGCTATAAGCAGATGCCATTTTTGCTACACACTAGGTTTGGAGGAGGACGACTCCTGGCTTCTGTATCTTAATGAAAGCACCGCGGATTCATTAAGCGAGGTCCATGAGCGAACTCTGACACTCCGGGCACAGCTTCCGACAGAACCGGACCTGTGGCATCACGGAGTCACGGGCACCGCCTTGAAGCGGCATTGCAGCATAGCAGCATGACCGAAGTCCGATGGTGAGACTTTCTCCAAGGTCCCATGATCAGCGACAGAGTGGCGTATTCCGGAAACACCGGATCCGGTATGACCAGATGCGCTTCACACCGAAAGGCGTGGTCCCGCCATTCGGCAGAGTCTGCCAGATTCAAGACCTGCTACAACTGTGATCATGCCATGGTCTAGCAGACCGTGTCTACTCTGTGCTGCAGGCCCCTGGCGATGGCTTCTGCAGGCCTGTGGCATGACTGCAACATGCTGCCCCGAAGACTCCAGAGACACAGATCTAGCTCTCATCCACATGCTCTCTGATGCGATCAACATCCAAGCTGCGCGAGCTGGA